ACCAGCGCGACGCAATTCCCAATTCATTGGAGGGAAACAACTCAAAAGTGCCGCGTCATTCTTCAAGTCGAATGACGCGAAAGGGGCCGGTCACTTTGGCGACGTCGTATCGTGTTGCAAAAGCGCCGATGGAATTTCAACATTCGGAGATTGGCTCAAAACTTGCTGGCAAGTGTTTGGCACAGGTCAATGAGCAAGCATTCAACAATGGACAAAATGGCCGCCCCCGGAGATCAAGACACACGGGGGAGAATAGTCCACCCACCGCTTTTTATTGGAGTCAGACAGGAGGTAACCTCTCCTATTCCATTTCCTTGCACGTTTGGCACCATGAAATGCCCGAAAAAAAAGGAAAAAAACCAAAAAGAAAGACAAGAAAAAGATGTCAGACAGACAAAGACTTGGGCTCCGGTGGCGGACTCGGCTGAGTGGTCCACATGTCACCTTTCCGCCGTATCTTCATCTGATCAAGTGCAGTGTAAACAAGGAGCAAGTGTCATCTGCTCAACTGCCAGCATTTTTTTATCAGCCTTTTGATTTATACACTCGCGGCGGCACTACGGTGGGCCTTATCTTTGAATCAAAAGAAGAGAACGCTTCCAGCAGCAGGCGGCAGGCCGTCAAGTTAAAAAAAAAAAAAAAGCATCTGACTTTGAGGCTCCCAAATGCCACTTGGCCTTATTTTCATGAGTTGGTCTCGTCGTATTTGAATGTTGCCACCCCCCTTCCCCTTTCTGCGCTCTCAGCGATACCCCCAAACAAACGGAGATGACTTCGATAAAAATCAATCAAGGCCGGTGAATCCCCACAGGGGAGAAAAGCCAGTGGGCATCTTTTTTTTCCCTGCCAGACGCACTCATTTGAATTTCATGGCGGAAATGCAAACTCGGAGATGGCTCGGAATCGCTAAAAGGAACGAAAACGGACGCGGCGCAATGCAATCGAATGAATTCCGCCAGTGATTCCCGCCCACTGGGGAAATGAGCCACTTCGGTCCGTTCCAACCACTGAGTTATAAAACATCACGTTTCTTTCTTCATCTATCTATGGCGGCGACGTACAGTGGCAGGCACGAGATGGGACGAGGTCCCCTTCGTCCAGGGGTGCCCAAACGAGGGAGACCCCTGGCGGTACGCGCAAACAATCACTCAATTCAATGTTCAAACTGGGCGGCGCGTTGCAGTCGCCGGTTTTGTACGTTTCAGCGTGCTTCTATGCCTGAGAGATCAAAACCTAAAATAACCAATGGGGCGAAGGGACGGTGAATGAGGAGACTACTTTTCAATTTTCGGTGGTTCTCCTGCTCTCCAGAATTTTGTTTCCTCTTTTTCAGAAGTCAGGAAGTTCACACAACAATTTGTTGTCCTTCCTAACAGGACGTCACCAGCGATGGCAAAACTAGCAGTGAACTCTGGAGTATCTTCCCGTGAGGATTCCGCCTCACTTCCCGACACAACTTCCTTTTTTTTATGTTTGCTTGCTTATTTACCGCACTCGGGTGACGCCATAACGCGCGGGCACCGTGAGCGAGCGCATCGTAAAAAATGGCTCGGTCATCCTTTAAAGCAAGCCGCTGCGGAGACATCTCATCCAATCGGTCAAAGCCATCCATCAGAGCGGAGCGGACGCCGCGCCGTTTGTCAACGTTCTGCATCGCGAGGGTCGGGGGCGGCCGCGACGCGACGCGGCAGAAACCATTCAAGTGACGGAAACTCGCAAGGGGCCCAACGGGACTTGAGCCGCCATCTTTTTGCACGTTCCAACGTTTAAATCAGAAAGCGAGGTTATCTCGTACATTGCGAATGACTAAAAACGGGCCGAGGCCAGCCCACGCATTGGGAGATGCGGGCGTTATTTCGGGGAAACGCCGACTGTGGATGATATGATAAACTACGACTTCCCAGTGAAGGTAGAGGTTTCAGAGCGGGCCGGTCCCCTGTTCGTCCAATAACATGCAAGTTTGGCGTCAATCGCTATCCAGGAAGTGGCTCGTGGCGACACAAAGGTTGAAGTCATTTCATGAGCATTTTTTTTCCTGATAGGAGAAGGGCTTGAAAGCTTTCTCTTGCTTATACGGCCTAGCGACGGGACCCCATTTTCCGCAGGCCTTGAATAATGGGGTCCGAAAGGGCTGGCGGCGGCTCTCCCAATCGGAGAAAAAGCGAGCAAAACGCACGAGACGTCAACCAAAAACAAGAAGCGCGTCGTCTCCGTTTGTTCCCAAGCGCATCGGCTCGGCCGTCTCATCCGAGAGGTAATTGCTCGGCGATTACGCGACTGTACTCGTTCGGTGTCATTAGGACGAGATGCACATGACTGTTTTTAATGAGCGATCTAATTGATGCCAACGCCGCAGGCGGCGAACTCTGAACTTTAATTGCGAGCCACTCTGCTCGCATATTTGCCTTTATTGTGGCTTTCAAAGTGGCTTCCCAACGCCGCCTTTTCATCGGGGCAAATAATCCGCAGAAACAAATGACCCCCCGTCAGAGGTGATGTCATTTGCCAGCACATTTTCCCGGCGCCGTTCATTTCCGCTGCAGATTGATGCACGGCGGGCGGCCGCGTGGGACACATTAGGTCGACGGCGTGCAGCAGATGTGCGGAGGAGCCGCCGCCGCCGCCGCCGCCGCCTGCGCAAGCTTTTTGGGCTTGCAATATCGAAACGACCAAATCCAGCTCAGCTCGTCGCCGTTTTTGTGCTCGGGCCAACAATATGTACGATAAAAAGATCGTTTGGCCGCCATGTTGTGGCATTTGAAGGCATTTCAGAATGAACATCCAAAAATCCAATCACTTTTTTTTTTTTTTAATCACGGTAGGTTTGTTTTTGTGAATAGACAGACACCTGATTGGCAGACTTGTTTATTTGGAGTCATTCCACTGTCAGCCACTAGACGGCAGCACACTAGGTTGACGATAAATTTGAAAGAAAAGCGAAAAGCGAGTATTTTGAGCTCAGTCTAGTTTTTGCTGAAGCTCAATGTCAAACCCTCTTCCGGCACGAAGGTTTCTGATATCTAACGTTTGTTGAGGGATCACTTCCACGCATTGCGGAATATTTGGATGTGATCCATCACTATGCAAGGTAGCGTGTTTCATTTAATGCGTGTGCCCAAAACGCTGTGGAAAAAACATGCCAATAAACAGAGCATTTATATCGCACCGATCTCACTGGTCTGGAAGCGTGGGAGGGAATACCGAGCGGGGAGAAAACGAGACACGAAAAACAAACCCAAAGCAAGGGACAATATTCCGAAATGACAGGGCCTTCTATGATGCGCGTTGTCGGCGCTTTCAAGGACAAATATTTCATTCGACTGCTGCAGGTGGACAAGAGAAAGCGACAAAAAGATCTCAACTCCCATCCACCATCATTTGGATTCATCGTAGGGCAGACATGTGGGAAGCAAACGAAGCTACGCATTGAATGGAAACATTCATTCATTCATTCATTCATTCCGAAACAGCAGTGTACATTATTGTACTTGATAAGAACATGACCTTTTTTTGGGGGGGGGGGGGCAATGTGCTATATAAATTGACTACATAGCCATATTTCAAGAGTGTAAACAAACACATCAAATGAAAAGCTTTCAAGAGTGGGGCATGATGGTTAATTTGAGGTGATTGGCGAGGCGCAAATGTCAGTGCAGCATCTGTGGGAGTCGCGGCAAACGCAGTGATGGATTCATGTGGCAACACTGACCCCTAGCGGTGACATTTTTTTTTTTTTTTTTTTTTTTTTGCAGCTCACAAACGCTGATTTGTTCGGAGATCAATTTTTGGACGATAGTTTTTGAGTCAACACACCTGATTCCAAAAATGGCACTTTCGCCGTGCCCGCTTCAGTGTCATCCGTCCTCAAAGTGACTCCCTAAATTTCCCTCGGGGCTGCTGTGACTTCAACACAGGCGGTGCACAAAAGTGACAGAATACTGTCAACTGGTCAACAACTGGTCGGTTGTTGTTTTTTTTAAAGTTTGACTCCTTGCGCAATACGGACTTTATCACCGTTTGCTGAACCTCACCCTACCATAAATGTTCCGAAATCGTACTGTATTACATGTACGATTGTCATCTCGTTCAACCTAGTGTGCAAGAGAAACAAACGAACACAGCTTCAGAATAGATGCACAGAAAATATCATCTTGGAAAGTTTCCTTGGATCTCTCCTGAAGATCATTTTGGACGAGTGTTATTGCTTTAGGAGCGACTATGCTAGCGTTCATGTCGAAATTGCGATTGCAACACCGGCGAGGGACGAAGAGCGTGGACGTGATGATATCGTCCACTTGGGGGCGCCGTTGCTTCGCCCAAGAAGGTCCTCGCTTCAGGACGTCCCAATTGTTGCCTTTCGAAGGCCAAGAAGCCCCCCCCCCCCGCCCCCTTACTCAGCGAGACTGTGAGAAGCAAGAACTTTTATCCGACGATTTGACAAAGCTGGCAAGCGCCAGAGTAAAAATAAATCAATGAATACATGGCATGACCAGTTTCAAGATTGCTGCCATTTTCCTTGATTGAACACACACACACACACTCACACACACACACACACACACACACACACACACACACACACACACACACACACACACACACACACACACATCCACGTGAGTACAGCTGCAATGTATACGAGCTTTCTAGCAATAGCACAAAAGTGACATTAAAAAAGAAATCGGATTTTACAATGCGGGCATCGCGCATGTGTGCCTAATATAGAGTCCGTAAGGAGGTGACCCCGTTTAGTGCGCAGGGAGGGGTGGACTTGATGAACGCGGTGAACGATGCCGTGGAACGCCCCCCCCCCCCCCCCCCCCCCCCCCCCCTGCCTCATCTCCAACGAACCCACTTGGTCCTTTCCAGCCAGCACAGTCCGGACGCGCTCGTCGCCCTTCGCCAAGCCAACAGGATTTGCGCTCCTCTGCTCGAATCTCTTTTGGGGGATTTCAACTTGCTTCGGGCCAGCGGGGAAGAGCGACGGCGGACCGTTCAACTTGGAAGAAACGGAAGGAGCTTCGAAAAAGGCTGCCTTGAAGAAAAGCCGTCATTTACGAATCTTTACGCGGCGTTGTCGCACGCCGCGGTGAGGACGAGGAGCGGGTCGGGGGGGGGGCGGCTCCGGAGCGACGCGGGGGATGATTGGGCACGGTGCGAAACGCGTGGAACGGATGCTTTTGTGCGGCCGCTGACCCACGAGGATGCGTACGCGCGATGGGGTCCGTCTAATCGCCGGAGCGCCGCTTTGAAAAAAGAAAAAACAAACCCACGATGATTTTAACAACTTTTGCCATCCTCTTGTCATTATCGGGTAAGTGGTTTTCTGTCAATTCCATTCTCGAAACGAGCTCGTTTGCGTGGTTGTTTTGAGTTTTAGTCCGGCGTAATAGTGAGTGCGAATGTTCCCGCACGCCAGCCGCCGACTTGGTGTCCGCCTCGAAGGGGGGCGGCGGCGAAGGCGAAGGCGCCGCCGCGCGCCTGGACTGCGTCAAGGCCAGCGAGCGGTGCCTGAGGGAGGCCCCCTGCAGCACCAAGTACCGCACCATGAGGCAGTGCGTGGCCGGCCGGCACAGCGGCGCCGCCGCCGCCGCCGTCACGGCTCCGGAGGCGCGGGGCGAGTGCCGCAGCGCCATGGAGGCCATCAAGCAGAACCCGCTCAACCGCTGCAGGTGCAGGAGGGGCATGAAGAAGGAGAAGAACTGCCTGCGCATCTTCTGGAGCATTTATCAGAGTTTGCAAGGTACGGCAAAGCTGACTGACGCTCGTGCAAGGTAAGAGGTACGTTGCGAGCAAGCACCTCAACTTGGAGCCAAGTCACATTTTGCGTCACGGCACCAAACCCATCCCACCCTTCTGAAAAACAGGAACGTACCTTCCGAGTTTGTTCCACGACTTACGAGCCGTGTTGGCTCCCGTGCTAACTGGTCAAGAACAAACTCAGCGCGGGAAAGCGACAAAATCCACGCCGAAAAAATGTACATAATATACATAATAAACATATTTGAAATGGTACGACGGCAATGACTTGAGCGGCGGCTTTCTGGCATGACGCATTTCGTGAAGTAGACATTGAATTGCGCCATCCAAAGTCAGGTTCTCTGTTCAAGGCGTTCCTCATGGGATGCGCCCGTTATAAGACCGAGGAAGATTAGACAGCGTTGAAATCTATCTTGACACATGTGAGCGCGTGATGCCATGTGCGTGCGTACACGATGGAATGACGCGCCACCGCGTTCCCCGCAGGTAATGATTTACTGGAATATTCTCCGTACGAGCCAGTCAACAGCCGCCTTTCGGATATCTTTCGCTTGGCCCCCATCATTGCAGGTAAGACCCTCCTTTTGCCGTTTTTAGCTTGGTTTCACTCAGTCGGCCTACGTCGGTTTCTTGTTAGAATGGCTCCTTGGGGGCCCGCGAGCTCTATGTTGCCCCCCCCCTTTTTTTTTTTCTTTTTCGTGTTGCCTTGGTTTTCTTCACGCGCCGCAATCGGCGGGAAAAGAAATGCAATTGGAAACAAATGGTTGGGAGCTTCTCAGATAAGGATTGAGGCTGGCCATGAATCAAAAGCAAGGACGGTTTTAACGCAAAAGGAGAAAAACAGGTCCAAATTTTAGGGGGGCGCAGGGGGGCAACTTGGCGTGCCGGATGCCGTCGAGATAAAGGCCGCGTGCCTGCGCATCGCCCGGCGGCTCGGATCTTTTACGGCGCCTCGTGGAACGGGTTCGAGTCAATGGCGATCAGCAAAAACGACGGGGCATCTTTGTTCGGCTATCCGTTGTGCCGTTGTCGTCTCCATCATACCGAGATGCGCCTTTCAGATTTTGCCATCCATCATCTAGGCAACCAAACTAAAAAAAGGTTTCGGGTGTTGATTTGGGCACGCCGGCGTGGATGAAAGCATCCCCGAGGTCGTCCACAAGCTGTTCTGCCAGGGTCAAAGGTCAGATTCCACATCAATGGGCGGAAACGTGAGATTTGTGTTTGGTCCTTAACTGACCAATGAAATTCGAGTCTTGGGGGGGGCGGGGACTAAATAAATAAATAAGACAATTGAGATTGCGAAACTGTTGCGGAAGTCACCGGTAGTGACGCCGATTTGACATCGTGGGTGACTTGGGAATTGATTTGCCTTTACTCGAGACGAGAAAATGGAATGAGTCATGAAAGGGACAATCTGACCTCCCAGCGGACTGATTAAGAGCAGAAAATGGGAAAGGTTTTCTCCTGCTGAGGGCACTTTGTTTGATAGGAAAAGTCACCGCGACCTCCAGCTTCACTGTCTTAGTCACGCGCGCGCACGCGCGCAGTCTGAGCTCTTGGCAACCCGCACGCGCGCGCACACACGCGGAGACGTTGCTTTAAGGAAGCGAAAAATGTGGAAAACCGAGTCAACGATCGAAACGCGCGCTTGTGTGGCCGTCAGCCGAGCCGGCGTCCGCCAAGGAGAACAACTGCCTGAACGCGGCCAAGGCGTGCAACCTGAACGACACGTGCAAGAAGTACCGCTCGGCCTACATCAACCCGTGCACGGGCAGGGTGTCGGCCTCTGAGGTGTGCAACAAGCGCAAGTGTCACAAGGCCCTGCGACACTTCTTCGACAAGGTAACGGGGCCGCGCCGCCGCCGCCGCGCTTTGCGTCTTTCCCGACGAGTCTGGGAATCGTTTGCTCACGCAGGTGCCGAGCAAATACAGCTACGGCATGCTCTTCTGCTCGTGTCCGGCGGGCGACCAGAAGGCGTGCGCCGAACGCCGCCGGCAGACCATCGTGCCCGCCTGCTCCTACGAGGACAAGGACAAGGCCAACTGTTTGTCTCTGCAGAACGCCTGCAAGACCAACTACATCTGCAGGCGAGTTGAGCCCAACCAGGCCGCAAACACCCGCAAAGGAGGGAACGCAAAGTGACGTGCTGGTTTCCCGGCAGGTCTCGACTGGCGGATTTCATGAGCAGCTGTCAGCCAGAAGCTCACTCCGTATCGGGCTGCCTTCGGGAGAACTACGCAGACTGTCTGCTGGCCTACTCGGGCCTCATCGGTGAGCGCCGGTCTCGCTCGCGTAGCCGCCAAATGTCGCGCCGGGACTTCCGAACGCACGGGGCGCGGGCTATTTGGGAGTCAGCGGCTGAATTTTGTGCGCTCGAGGGGATCCCTGCGAGGTCATCTCACGTGAGAGAAGGGGCCGGATTTATTTTCTCGAGGAGCAAAAAGATCCAGGAGTCTGCGCTTGCTGCATTTCTCACGCGGCCCGTCTGTCGTCGGTCAGGTACGGTCATCACGCCCAACTACAAGCGGTCGCTGGGAATCAGCCTGTCGCCCTGGTGCGACTGCGCCAGCAGCGGGAACGACAAGCCCGAGTGCGAGAGGTTTCTGGACTTGTTCGCCAACAACCGCTGCCTCCGTAAGTGCCGACGCCGACAAGAGAAATTTGCAGCAAAAGGGAATCGAGGACGGAGGCCTCCCTAAAGTCTGGACACGTTGGATTAGTGCCTGCAAGGGCAGCTCTGCCAAGTTAGATCTTCGGTGCTTTCATATTGGGCACAACCCCAAACGAACTCGCCTCTTGTCGGTTTCTCCAGCTCAAGCCTGGAGATCTGGTGGGCATTTTTGGGAGTGGGGGGTAGTCAACGTAAGGGAATAAATGTCGTCACATAATACTCAAGTCAAAGTCAAAATAAGGAGAGGACATGAAATTGACTCCAAAGTACAATCCATCCAAAAAGTACAGCTGAGCAACTCCGATCAAATGATTGTTCTTTTGTTTGTCGTCCGAGCCCTCCTCCAAATCAGTTTTTGTGCGTCGGCGCAGGGAACGCCATCCAGGCATTCGGCAACGGCACCGACGTGGGAGTGTGGCAACCTCAACCCCCCATCCGGGCCACCGTGTCGGCGCCCGGCGGCGACGCGGCGGACGCGCTCGCTGGCCCGAGTCAACCGGACCCGGACGGCGACCCGGCCGATCACATTTGCCGCACCTTCCAGGTAGAAATTGTTGACGCGAGCGAAATGAGGTGGATTCGTACCTATCTGCCGCATTCTGCCCGCCATAAATACATCGCCGGCACAGATCGATGAATCACTGACGTGAAGCGGGAAAGTTTCTCGCAGCGCAGCAGTCGGGTCGGACTGACTTACAAGACCTCGCGTTGCCAACGCGCGACTCCAACGGATTTCATGCAAAACCGATCCCACTTGCATCTTTTCGGGTCCATCAGCGCAAAACTTGTCCCAGCCAACACCGGGACCAAATGCAGCGCCCGCCACTGGGGAAATCTGCTTTAGCGGTTAAGTCGATTGATTTCTGCGCTTTACATTGCGAACCGATACTTATTGATTTGTTTCATTATTTACGCCCCCACAAATATGAAGACGTCTCCTCTTTGAGGTGAGACGATCTATCAAATTGACTTTTAATTGGAGAGGTTTGGAAAAGTTTAAATCGATTTCTTAGTGTGGCCTCCGGGTTAGCTATTCAAACCCTCAAAACTTTATTTGGCGGCCTGAATGTTGACATTCCAAATGGATTCCAAACAAAGCCAAAACATTTTCTGCTTCCAGGCCCAAAAACTGGTGTCCAATCGCACGGAGGATCCTATGCTGTGCGCGGTAAGAACGGCTCACGTGTTTTTATTTTGACGCGTAAAGCAACTTGACTGACTCACGAGTACATCGGCAAGCAGTCATCATCTCAGTGATGTTTGTAGTTGCCGTGACAACCCTCGTGCGGCCTCTATTCAGCGGTCTGTAATATTGGCGAACCAGCCCGGACATCCCTGTCGGTCCTGCAACCTGTCGCTAACTGTGGCTTCAATTGTGAAAATCGCTGGCCAATTGTCTGTACCCGAGAGTCAACTTTCTCTTTTGGTCCTGAAGTACATTGGGGTGGTCTCGCCACCTGTGATTGGTTCTCCCCCAGACGGGCGACTCAAACGCCATCGCGAGAAACTCACCGGCCAAGCTGTCCCGTCTCGGCGCGTGGAGTCTGCTCCTGGCTCTGGCCTTCGCTTTCACGCCAGCGACGACGTTCCAGCTCGGAGGAGTCCCGCTCTTGTAGAGCCTGTCAAGGACCACAAGTTGATCAGGACCTTCCTCTACATCTCCCAAGGATTTGACCAAACCCCCACCCCCATAAAGAAAAAAAAAGGACAAACACAAAGGACATTTCCAGACCCTTAGGGCGGACTCGTTTTGGACTTGAACGGGCACCCACTGTGGAAAAACCGTGGATCGCTTTCAAATCTCTGCCTATGTGTGCTTTGGTTTGTCTCGTCAATTAAAACTGCAATCGCTCAACAGGACGACAAGGCAAGTTTTGCTGCGCCCCCCCCCCCCCTAAAAAAATAAAATAAAAAGACGGGAGCAACAAAACCGCTCAGGTATTTGGGATTAGGCTCAGCTCCGTCGTCAAAACCGTTTGCGGGTTGAAAAGGAATATGACGTGAAGATCAAAACATTCAACCTAACTGTTGCAAAACCGGAAACTTTCTATGGACGTGACGTCAATGTGCACCATTGGGAGTTTAATCTCGAACAAAATGTAACGTGTTTTGAAAGAAAACAACGCATCATCTCGACAAAAACATTTTACGGCCAGCGCTCCTGTAATGTGTGATACTTACTTTACCGCAACTGTTTTGTAACATGAAAACGATGCAGACTGATTTTGTTTTATTGTTCATTTCTGGAAGGACAGTCTTTCATCAAAGGGGGGCCACGATTGCAAGAGTTAAAGAAATAAACAGACTGTCTCTTCTGAACAAGCACCGCCATCAACACAGAGAGTTGATTCTATGGCAATTAGACATCCCAATACTAGTTGAGGGGGAGAAAAACATTGGTGTCATGCCTGAAAATGTGTGAAAATCACTTCAATGTAAAACACGGACTCCGAATAGTGTGTGACAGCTCAATTAAAAACAACGTTTGGGCAAACGCGTCGACTTTTTTCGTGTGGAAGAATGTTCGGACAGCTGACGTGATGCCACTACTTTTTCGGGACGGCCCATTCGAGTTGAAAACAAGACGTGTCATGACTTACAGGAAATGCTCGCGTCCATTTTCAAGTCGAAGCAAACTCCATGTTGAACGAAGGCTTCGGCGAGGATGACGCAGGTGCTCGCACACACCTGGTCCTGATGGGAATCCAGGAAAGAAGCGCGGCCGTCAGGGCGACATGCCGGCTCGGCTTCGGCAAGCATTTTGCCCCATTCTCGCTCCTCCGTTCGCACTCGACCACTCGCACCGGAAATTCCGTCGAGGACGGAGCGGCAACAAGTGATTTGGAGTCATGACACCATCGCTCCTCGACGTCGCCGTCGCGCGCGGACGTCTCGTACGGATGACGTCACGCCACACCACTCGGGGCCACTTGGGGCTCGGTTTCGAGCGGGATGAAACTCACGTCGGAACGTCCGACCCAGTTGCGCTTCGGCTTCGCGATTGGTCCGCCCGGAGCGCGTCCCTTTCCCGGCCCGCGCCAACCCCGATGCTCACAGTGCATATTTGGAGTGACTCGGAGAAATGTTCAAACGTACATGTGTGGAAAAAAAAAAATTGTCAAAAACCATAAAAAACATTGTTTCATTTTCTTTATGTGGCCACATGCATTTGTGAAACGAAAGACGGCTGCAGTGCAAACTTTTAAAACGGGTTTGCTTCGGTGCCCAGAGTGTTCGAGTACTTTTTGGGACCAAATCCAACAGGCATTCGGCAACCGATGTAGATTCAAACTAAAAATAATCCAGAAATGACACCAGCATGACTTAGAACTGTTGAACTTGTAGTCCCGCGTCGTTGACGGTCCTGTCGGTTGGCCTGTTTTCGTGCGTCCCCTTCCAGACCAAATCCTGAAAACAGCTGAGCCGCGACGGTCGTGACGTGTGCTCTGTGGCACTGCGATGGCACCTTCCGACGACAGCAGAGGGCGCTAGGCTGCCGCCCGAGGTGCATAAAAACAGCTGGATTTTTATGCGAAATTCAGATTCTAAAAACGTAATACTGAACAGAATACTGTCTTTAAACTACTGTATGTCAGGTCGAGAATTGTACAGAAAATGTTTCACTCGACTTCTCTTTAAACACACATGGAGATTTAACACATGCATTTGAGCACGGAGCCAGACTCACAGGCATGTTTTCTCTCTTTGGGCTTCATGTCTCCTATAAAAACACACTACACACTGATTATACACACACACAAAATCTGTTCCATGCGCTGCGGCTTTTGCCGGGCATCCAGGGAGTTTCGACTATTGTCAGTCCCGTCACATCAAAGCGACACAGGCGGACAAGGACGCCAGCCTGTAGAGGACAAAGCGTGGAGAAGACAGGAAGGAGGAGGCTGTGGGGTTGGGGGGGGGGGCTGTCTGGCGGGGAATATGGCCCACCTGTTTGAACGCAGTGATGGACTACTCGACCAAGAGAGAGCACATAAGATTTATTAGACGTGCCAGCAGCTCCAAAAAGACACAAAATGTCCCCTACGTGTCAGGCATGGTGACAAGATGGCCACTGTGGATGGACGTTCGCACGAGGATGTATTTTAAGCGCACTGCCCGTGCGCGCTGATGATAAAATGGCATAACACTCACACACATCCTCACCCATTTCAGAACGTTTCAGGCTTCCGTGACCTGAGAGGCACGCGCTTCTGCGTCAGCTGCTACACACGAGGCCCGTCGAATGACTGAAACCTGGACCAGAACAACTCTTCTCTGGAGGAGGAGAGCACTTAGATATATATATTTTTTAATGACACAGCTATCCGCCTCTCGAGTGTGGAATCACACATTTGGATCTCTTCAGTGGCATTCATGAGCACAGACAGATAAGTGATGAATAAGCCACGACTACAGTCAAAAAAAAAAATTTAAAAGGACCACTTAAACCCCTCAAATAAGTCGATAAGACGATGACCTTAAAGAGAGCAGCTCGAACTTTCTTTGGATCGCTTTCCTTCTGAAGTATTGAAACTCTTTCTCGAGAAGAACGCCTGCCTGTCAAAACTTTTGGGGAAGAAGTGCCCGATGGCCACTCAACCAGGGATTTCGCCCATCAGCATTTGCGTCGAGATTTTGCACCAACACTCTTCAGCTCGAACTGGGGCGCAGTCAAGGTGGAGGGAATTACGAACGGTTGAAAAAAAAACATAATTCCTCCAAATATTCCGGAGAGTCATCTGTGCCACGTCCCCAAGACTAGTTGCTAACGAGCGAGATGGAGGACAACAGTGCAGCACCTCCTGACGCCCGACACATCAAAGGCCCTAAAACGGATCGTTTGCAGCACAAGCAAACAGTCGGCGAGAAGCAGCAGATGCCAATCGTGGCGCAGATGGAAGCCGGAGGGCGGTTGCCACAATCCTGGAGACAGACACGAAAATCCCTAAAACAGTGGAGATGTAATTATGATATGGAAAAAGGGCCAACACAAACTGTCACATATGTTGTTGGTTTTTTTTTTGGGGGAGGGGGGGCTTGTCTGGCGGTGAGTGTACGTTTTGGGAGTGTCAAAAATGATAAATTTCTGCAGCCGAAATGAGAAAGTATTGCCGCAAAGCATGATGGGAGACCCCCCCCCCATCTCCTTTTTTGCCCCTAATCATTTTTTTAGTGCATGGCCCAAGAAAGTACAACAATCGTCCTGTTTTAACAGGACGGTGCTCACACCTTTGTTGATATACAGTAGCCCACTTTTTTTTAAATTAAATCAGCGATGCAAGTTAACATTTGCAATCCAAAATCGGCCCGTTTTTTTTTTCGGGCGCACAGCAGGTTTTCATTATAATACAATAGCACTATGTGATATGGGAATACATTTGGTAAAAGTCGCGGTTCGGTGCAGCAACCGATGGAATTTCTTTCTGAAACGTCATCGCGATAAACGACAAGGCACGGCGGTAAAACCCGGATCGCGCAAGCTTTGGACGGTCAAACTTCAAAGCAATTAAGGAAAATCCATTTCACTCCGTCAACGTTGGAGTCACCTTTGTGACAGTTAGATTTGCAGCGGACTCGAGTGAAGCCACGAAACGACAAAGCGCTCGCCTGGTCCCACGATGGCGTCTCCTGGAGTCAAATTGACAGATCGAAGCTCCTCTCGCATCAGCGGCAACTCGCCGTCTTTCGACTTGGAGCCCTTCGAGATTCTGTCGCAAGTGCCCTTAACGCTTGCAAAATTGGCTGATGATGTCATTCGCAGGAATTCTCTGGCAGGCGGCGCACCTTCATTTCACAAATCAAGGGCAACACGAGGGTCCTCTTTTACGGTACGTACAGAGACAAAAAGGATAAAATGCACCACTTTGGCTTGCCTTTTTGGCCTTAAACACACACGTATACATATGTACACACATACACACAGCATAAAGAGGACGATATCAAATCTTGGCACTGTCAAAGTGCAAACTTGCTGTCATTCATGGTGGGTGTCAGTTCTCTCCCGGGTTCCCGATCAGGCAGGAATGTGCTTGAACGTTACAACACAGAGTCACGTGTTTCGTTCACCTTCTGGTTTTTGTGACCATTAAGACGAGTTACAAAGGAGACGACTTACCCGCATTGCTTCCTTCTGAGCAGCAGCGCCCGCGTTTGGTTGGGATTTTTTGAAGAGACAGCACCTGAATAAGCAGAAGCGATAGACCGACCTTGGCGCAGATTGCAATTCGCATCGATTGAAATGGCAGCCCTTGTGACCTCCACCGAGGTGGTCCCGTCCGTCTCTTGCTCCTTTTTGCGGAATTACTCAAAGGCAACTTTGCTACGTTTGTAGAGCGGCGGCCCAAGGAAGGAGGAAACTGGGTGCACATTCAAAAATCAATCGAGATCTTCAAATGGCAAGACAAAAAAAAAAAACAACAAAAAAAAGGAACACGCAACTATAGTATTCCTCTTTTGCATATAAATCAATAAACAGGTTGTATGAACAGGAACTTGGAAATTCCACAGAATGTTGACATCTGTACTTATGCTTAAATTGGACTGGGCTCTTTAAATTAAAATAAAAAAAGGGGGGGTCCTCAGAAGGGCAAAGCATTCCACAACATAAGCAAGCAATGACAGAAAAAAACTCGCAGCATTCTTCTTTTCTCTTTTTAATATTCCATCATGTCCTTCATCCAAAAAATACATCGATGATGACTGGCAGGCCGCCTCTCATCTCTTGCCTTTTTTTTTCTTTTCATTTCTGTTTCCAGCGAGACCCCGATTCCTGCATAATGACACCATGTCAGATGAGCACGATACAAACACACACACAATAAGGAACACATTAGCTTACAAACTCGGCTCTTAAGAGATGCAACACAGTGACCGTTTCCGCGATGACAATGCCCGAGGGGTTTAAAAAAACAAAAAGCAGTAAAAAAAAAAATCACTGAAATGTGCTATTACACAGGAATCGCGTTAAATATCAAAACATCAACAGAGAAGCTCTTCTTCACAATTGTGCCGTAAATATAATAAGGGATAAATGAAAATATCTGGCCCAATCTGTTTTACAAAGCGGACAAACGACAGGAAATATCAAGAGCCGAGCGTGACGTTTGTTCAAAAGCAAACACTGTACAGCTCGGAGAATTCGACCCTCCCTCCCTCCGCTCTGGTCCGGCAATACAAAAGGTAACAACGGTGGGATAGAGTCGTAGAAAAACAAAGTCCGCCCGGAGCAGAATGTCCTTGCTTCAAGCGCGTTACGTCGCCCACTGTCACAAAAGCGACGCAAAAGCCAAGCAAACCCCAACACAGGGCGGACATTTTCCAGTTTGCTGTGTTACGTGAAATACTAAGACCAGACTTATCGGGTGCCGGTGTCGCGCGCGGAGTTCCTTCGGGCGGCGAACCGCAGGAGCTTTTAGCACCGTGAAAACACTTGTGGCCGTGCAAAAAAAAAAAAAAACCCAACAACAACAACAACAACAACAAACAAGCAGCACGTAACAGGCGTCGACCAGCTTTAGCTGCAAATGACCTGCGTAGCGATTAGCTTCCTTGGACTCGTCCCGAGCCAAAGGACACGGGGGAGCTGAAATACAAACGAGTGAAGCTTGAAACAAAAGTCCTCCGTTTGCAGCTTTGCGCTCCCGCGGTTCCCGAGGTCCTCGGTCGCGGGAAAAGTCAAGTCCGGATGCGCTCGAGGGTTCTCCGTTTCTCTCCCCTGGAATTTGACAGTCAGAGCCCGACGGGCCGCCGTCCGCCTCTCGGCAAGGGAAGGTCGCCCGCCGGGAACCTGCGGCGGCTGGGGCCCAAGAGAGCGCAAAAGACGGGCCTCAAACGCAGGTGCCCTGATGCGTCGGCGCCGGGGCCTTTCGGTTCTTGAACGCCAGCGATTTCTCCTTGAAATCGCCCGCTTTCTGCTGGGAAATGTCGATCAGTGCGCTGGCGACGATCAGGCCTGGACGGCGGGTGAAACAAAGGAGCGTCATTGAGAGAGCATTGCCCAGACGGGAAAAATTTTCGCGTGTCACCAAAACTACGAACGAGCGAAAATGCCGTCTGATTCCCGTTAGCGTTAGCGTTAAATGTCTCTTACCCGACTGGCCGGGCGGAGGCGAGTTGGCGGGTCCCGACGGCAGCCGCATGAGGACCGTCAACACGGCAGCTTTGCCTCCGGAACACGGCTCCATGGCAACGGGTTTTGGCGCGCCCTGCGGAGGAGGTCAATCAAAAACGTAAGCATGCGCGCTCGGCCACAGACTTTTAGGGACACACGAGTGAGCAACAGTCCAAAATTGAGCCAGACCGCAAGAGGCTCGCGATGGTGTTTCGTACGCGCGCAGAAAGAACACAAATCCGACATTGAGGTGATTCACTGATTCGGGATATGGAATTCTTTATCTACGCGGCGAGCTCAATCTCGACGCCAATATTTCTCGTTTTCTAATGGCGTGTTGTCAGGAGGCCGAAAATGGCGTCACGTTTTTTTCCGGGTGCCGCCACTGCCGAATGGAGCTTTCGGATGACCAGACGGCGGAATGTCTTGCGGCAGAGGGGCGGCGCCCCGCTCCCGGGACAAACGCTTTAATTGGTCACACAACAAAAACACTTGTCCCCCGCCGCCCAGCCTGACAGTCGGCGCGTCGAGAAAAGCAACACTTAAGACTTGAAAGGCAGCAAAGTGCTGGCGTCTCAAGCGTGAAAAACATGTCACCCTTACAATGAACGCGGAGGGCTATTTGGGAGGAATTGGGGAATAATAACACGTCTGACCACAACCGACTTCTTTGTGTCTGCCAGGATCAAATTGCGATGACGGAGGCAGACCGCTCGGAAACCGGCACGCGTGCGGAGGGACTGATTGGTTTTTCTCTTTGGAGACCCTTAATTGGAGCACTTGTCTGCAAGACTTTGTGAGCTCACCGATGTAACGGCCAGCGTACTGTTTTAGCCGTCACGGAATATGAACATCGATGTGCAATTCGCGCAAGCCAATGAGGGCGCGCGACGAGAGGAAAAACGTGAGCGTGCATCTGCCCGGGCGCAACGGTGACGGTTGGGGCGGTCTCGCCCCGGCATCCAAGGGCAATCGGGTTGTCGGTCGGTCGGCTTCACCCGTGATCACTCAGGTGATCTCCGGCTAATGAGTAGCTACGTTCCCGCAGAAAGAAAAGCGGGCCGGAATTGTCTCGTGCTCATCAGACAATGAATGAGAATTCGCTACATTGCGTTGCTTACATGGCTCAGTGGCTGAGGCGTGATTAGAGCTGTTCCAAACAAAGGCGGCCGCGGATTGTCAAGCGTGCAAATGGAGCCCGGTTCCCTTTTCCGGGCTCGCTCGTAACATTCATGAAAACAAAAGGCCGTTTTCAAGGTTCAACGTGAACGGGACATATTTTGTTTCTCTATCAAGTGAGCAGCAAACCTAGCGAGACTGACTAGCTTAGTCACTTACTAAGCTGTCGGCACAAAGAGACGCTCGGCAAAATGTGCGGTCAGTGTCCTCTTTGACATCAACAAGTATTCACTGACTAGCTTAGTTACTTACTAAGCATGGCGACAAGCTGTCGGCACAAAGAGGCGCTCGGCAAAACGTGCGGTCAGTGTCCTCTTTGACATCAACAAGTATTCCGAACAGTTAAGTGACGCCAGATGCCGGGCAATTAGGTTCATTTAGGGAAAAAACAATTATTGAGATGGTTCACCTTCAGCCGCTGCCAAACAATGCCATCAAATAATTGAATTGCCCGTTTCACTTGACTCAGCGGTGGTTGGAACGAGCCGATATACGTGGGCGCTTTCAAAGCGATTACATGCGGGAGTTTGGACTTCAAATATTCACTGCGCACGCTACGATAGCCATCTCTGCTGACGACTGGATCGAGTCGCTCGACAGTCTGTGGTCAGCCAAGGAAAATAACCAAACTCTTGCCCGTTAGCTCGCTTTGTGGCGATATGCTGCTTCTTTGACAATCATGCCATGTTTTTCTGGTTTAAAAAAAAAAAATCTGATGGAGGGACGCATTTTTTTCCATTGAAGCACACGCTACATGTGTGGTGCTCAATCGCAATGGGGTTCAGCGGAGCCAAAAGAGAACGGCAAGGATGCTCATTTTCATTTCCCTTCTCTGACGGGGGCCCGGGGTCGCTTGTCACAAAAAGTGTGACTTGAGGGAGGGGGTTCAGATAGGGCACAGACTGCAGAAGGCTAGAATAGAAGGTTCAGTTCGATGCATGTATCCGTCTCCATCACGTGGCCAGACTGGAAAACAAAAGAAAACAAACAAAAAAGACAACGCATCTCTGATACTGTTGTGGAGGCGAGCCCTAGTTTGGGGACCGCTGCACTCCATCTGTACTACATGATTAAATGTGTCCATTTGTGCGCAAATTGGGGTGCGCGGGGCAGGCAGCCGACGCCAGCAAACACCAACTTCATCAAATGACAGATTTTCTCAGGCTTTGCTTTGTGTAGCAAACTTGCACCAACCGCAGAGAAAAAAAAAACCAAAACAATCTCGTCAGATCATGCGAAAGCGAGCGCGTCTGCAGGCTACGCGAGACGTGCAGGTCAAGTTTGAGGTTTAGCCGATCCCGTTTTATGCCGTGCAATTCCGAAGCTGAAGAAAGGCGTCGATGTTTGTCGGCAACTTCCTTCAAACGACGCGCGGCCATCCAAGCGAAAGACAGTCAGCCGTTTATTGGCTCGCGCCGCCCGCCTTGTGAGGGTCAGCAAACAGAGGACACGGGATTTTTCTATTTATTTCTTCCTGCGGTTATCATTTCCACAACAGCTTGGGACAGTGTTGACCGCAATTGTCTCCAGTGGGCGCAAACCTTTTTCCCTTAATGCGCTCTGACAAACAAACAGCTTAGCCGGCCGGGCGCCCGAAGCTGGACGGACACAAACGCGTGGAACTAATTTGGCTAGAATTAATTTTACGCTCACGATCGGTTTGTTGTTGTTGTTGTTTTTTTTTTCTTTTGGGGGTTGGGGGGGAATTTAAATTCAGAGTGCAGCAACGAACTGCGGTCGGAGAGCTAAGAACGGTTGTTGTGCTGGTCTCCTGTTCTTTGGGCTGCCCTTGACGAGGGCGTAATGGGCGTCGAGCGGCGCTCAGCAATCCACTAATGGCTAATGTAGTGCCTCCTCGCCGGTTGCCACAGTGATTTTATTTCTCTCGGCGGCAGGTGACACAGGGGCGGCTTTGGCTGAGGAAACACCGTTGCTCCTCTGATGTCAATTTCAGCATGTGGCTCCCTTTTTATTGCTTCCAGCCACGCTTTTATCCCCAGTGACATTGAAACCGGCGCTGTACTTGCTTCAAGATTTCCTCTCGGTTTTCCGTTGCGCGTGCCACATAATTCAATGATTGGGAGAAAGCTCACTTTTTTTTTTGACTTTATATTCACAACGCCACCCCTTCAAATCTAACCATGCCAAACTCTTGTCTCCTGAATGTACTGATGCTTTTTAATGACGCCCCCTCCCCCTTGCAAAATGGGCATGCTGGCATTCTTTCTGTCCGCAAAAAAAGATCGAAGTGGTAGCAGTGATTGCAGAGGACAATTTAGATAAAGCAGGCTGATTATTATTTTTTTTCATTCGAAGAAAAGACAATAAAAAGTAAATGTTCTTTCTTTCTAATTAATTGGAATTAATCCACTGGCTAGTAAAATAAAATGACATGAACCAGTTATTGAAAGAAAAATAAACAAATGCAAATCTCATTTTTATAACATAGGCAGTGAAGCCCGACTCTTTGCGGGGGACAGTCTGACCGGCGACTATCCACAATGATTTCATGCTCTTATTTCGTTCGGTGGTGGTGGTGGTGGGCGGGGGACACACACACAAACACGTCGTTGGGGGGGAAACCAGGTAACTCCAAAAAAGCAACGTCATGTACTGAAGAAGAAAGACTTACGTCGGCCATCGGTTGAAGCATCTCTGTTTGTTCTCTTCCCCGAGCGTCCAGCACGACGGCAGCGGACGCAAAAGGACGACTGGCCATTTGTTGGCGCTCCCTCATCAGTTGCTGGGGAGAGAAAAAGCCCCCAAATAAAGAACAAGCCCCCAAAAATGGTCCACTCAGTGCAGCCTACGACTTGTTTGTCATTGTTTGTGGCGCATTACCCACCGTCGTTGGGAACTTTTGTTTGAGACGAGGAAAATGCCAGTGCATCCTTCTACTTCAATGTCCTACTTTCATATGATGAGCAGTTCATCATGCACTGTTCTTATTCGACACTTGACTGCATTAAGCGCCGCAAAGGCTGTCATTTATCCACGACACAATTCAAAACAATTTCAATTTTGTTTGGCATTGAGAGCTCCATTGATGTGATCAAAAAGAAAAAAAAATGGGGTTAGGGGTGAAACAAGGACATCTGCCGCACGAAACAGATTGATTTGACTCAGCGCTCCTCTTGTGCGTTCAAACTTTAAGCCACAACACTGTTGCACTTCTCTGCTATTAAACATCTTACAGCGACATCACATCTATAAATATAAGCGGCCGGGCTGAGCCGAAGGTCAACAATGAGGAAATTTGCCCTTCTCGGAAAGATAAAGCAAGATGTAGGGGCCGGCAGGGCTGTTTGGCTCTTTTTTTCTTCTTCTTCTTCTTCTGTTGTTGTTGTTGTTGTAATTTCCAACACCAAAGCTTCAAATCCAACAACATCCATCCTAAATGTCAGATAGCCGCAATGTTATTTATCACGTCGCGGGGTTAATCTAAAGCGACAAAGCGCCCGAGAGGGGAAGCAAAGTCAGCCGGCGCCGGTCTACGGCAACGCTGGCAAAATGCGCAGGGAATACGAGCGTCACAAGAACAGAAAAAGGTGCAAGAAATGAAGAACTTCAGTCAACGACAAAAGGCCAGAATCCAGTCCGTAAAACCGCTTCCCAAGTGATTTTTGTCAAGAACACAAGCTGCAGCCTTTCACCGCCGCAATAAGCTTGCGCACGCGGCGCGTTGATATGCCACCTGATTCATCTGGCAAGCGAGCGCCTGAATTATCCGCCCGGGGAATACGGCTTTGGATTTTCAACCTGCACACTTGCAAAACGCATTCGTACAGAGTAGACCGGCTCTTCCTGACCTATCCGTTTTTTTTTTTTTTTTTTTTTACATACCCCCCCAAAAAAAACAAAACAAAACCAAAAGGCGGCCCTCGAGCCCAAGCATTTGCCCGCCCTGGGTCAGACGCTGGAACGGGCAAGGCGACCGCAGAATCGCTGCGGTGGAAAGTGCAAAGATGTTGTGTCAAACACCTTTGAAGGTACGCTGGCGTCTCGCGATGCGAAATGTCGGCGCTTCGGCGGACGTGCCGCGAGGTGTGGCATTTACCGTCGTCGTCGCTTTGTCGCCACTCGTGATCCGAGACCGGTCGCGTGACCTCCATGTCAATGACACAAATGAAGCAGTCGCATTTACCGGAGGCTCGTTCGGCCCCCCTTCTACTCTTTACGCCCGAGATGAACGGAGCTTTCTGTCTGATCTACTCTGTGTCCTCAACACTTTGGATTCGTCTCGCTCTTTATTTTGGACGCGGGAACTGAAGGGCAGCGACAAACTTGATTAAACCAACAACAACAACAAAAATGAAGCCAGCGGCAATTTCATGACGGCGGACCATATGCACGCATTTGTTATTTTGCTGACTTTAAGTCTTAAGACTGGCCTGATTCTTTTGTCAGGATGGCAATTGGACGGGGTTTTGTCGTCGCGTCTCCATTTGAGTCGGGCGGACAGTGAAACAATCACTGCGAACTAGCATCGTTACACAGAATGGGCCAAAGACGAAACATTTCTTTTCCCGTCCTTGTTAATCCCTGAATTTGGATGACGGGACACTTACTTCTCGCCGTCGCGATGCCCAGCAAGTCTGCTTGATCTTCCACACCACCGCCGCCACCAGGAGCAGTGACAGAAAACAACTAAAAGCAGACGTCAAGTGCAGGCAGGGATGAGAAGGAGCAAAGAATCATAAACCCCCAATCAGGGGTGTCCGAACCTTTTTTGTTCGAGGGCCGTGTGTGGAAAAAAAATGCAAGGATGAAAGGGGCCACTTTGAAAATGGTCAACTTTTGAAACGCGCCCAAGTCAGTCGAAAAAGCAATTCTCTCTCATTTGTATTGTCGAGTTCATTTCATCAGCTTTCTGTCAAAGGTGTTTAGGCAGAAGGGCCACAATTGGCCCCCGTGCCATAGTTTGGCGACCTCACGCACAAAACTCATTAGGTCAAAATAATTCTCTTTCTTACTGTTAAAATTGCTGATAAGACAATATGGCACCCCCAAAAAAATCCTCTACTTAATCGACCCACAGTGTTCTGGAAAGGTTTTTCATCCAACATACTGATTAAAGCACAATTGCTGAATTAGCGTGGGGTTGAGCTCATCTCGGATGTTCCACTCCCCGTCGACGACGTCCTTAAAAATAGGCCGCTAAGAGGGTCCTCGGCGAGTCTCGAAATCATCAAATTCTTTTCCAAGTTTGAAGGGAACACGAGCCTGCTCCTGATGCGCGGGGACAAAGATAATCACGCCGCCGCCGCCACGTGAACAACATCCTGTAATTTGAGCAACAAGCCCTCGTCTTTTGAGTGTGTGGGGTGGTGGGGGGGCGCGCGCATCAGCCGATGAACCCGCAAGCATTTGTTTGATATTTAAAGCTGAGCGGGCTATCGGTTAGATAGACGGCCCGGATGGGCGCAATGGTATCATTGATGGCTGAGTGAAACGTGATCGCACTCGCAAGGACGAGAAGCAATGGGGGCTAAGAGAAAAGGTGAAATCCGCTGTAAGCAACGGGAAACATCAAACGGCTTGTGATCACACTTTGCAGCGTGGGAATGCTTTTGCGATCTTTAAAAAAAAAAAGATGGAAGAAAAAGGGACCCCCATTGCCTTTGCGCCACTGAGAAGATAAGGGGTGATGATATTCAAATGTGGCGACAGATAGACACCAAACACATGTGTTGGCAAAAAAAAAAATAATAATAATAATTTTAAAAACGTATTCCCAGCACAGCGGTGGGAAAAGTGCAACATGGGGAACAAATCAGGGAAGTCCAAGAGGCCTGATGTGAAACAATGGAGCAAAAGGAGACGAGAATGGCCGTTCCCTCGCATTGTGTGTGGGAGCAGCGAGGTGGGGAGACCCTGCGGGTAGGGGGGGGGGGATGTTGTTGACATCAGCCTGATCAGATTTCCCTCTGAAATGACCACACAGGTTCAACTAAGCTCATCAGGGCCAGATGAAAATGTGGAGAGTGCCGGTTCCAGCCAAGCACAAATGTTGCCACAATCGCTCCAAGACGTGATGCGATGAATCCACCTCACATGTTCCAAAAGTCATCTGAATCCGATGGATCCGCAAAGCTAGAAAGAGATCAGGGTGCGATGCGACCGTTCCCAGAGTACTGTTGTTCATTCATTTCGCCAATGGCCGTCGCTACGGATCGCAAATGAACACAAAGTGCGTGTTTGATTAATTTGTTTCGATGGCCATATTGGATGGTCTGCAAGTTCTCTTTGCCAGACTCCCTGAATTCAAGCGGCAATTTGAGCCGAGGCAACAGCTTAGCGGCAGGAAGGTTTTTGTGTACGAGGCAGTGATGGGCAGGTGCCTTGGGCAACGGCGGCTTTTCTATTTGCAACCCTGACAGCGACACGCATCATATGCGAGTCCCTGTCAGCCCGCAAAATGAGCGCCGGAGACCCAAACAACACACTGGCGCGGGTCAGTGGCTACCACGTGACACGTGAATATTTTTTAAGCTTGAAGATCGCCCCGGAAAAGCATTTGTTGTCCCCTCCTACCCCCTTTTAGCTAGCCACAAATCATTCCTGATTTCCGACCGTTTTACAGCAATAAAAACCTCAAGAAACGACGACTGTCAGCTGGTTTCACAAAGCTGGTGAAACAAATTCGACCATACAGTAACTGCTTTCTCGACTGACTTTCGAGTGTTTCAAAAAGTTGACCAACGCTCAAGCGGCCCTTCCATCTTTCCATTTTTCCGTGCGAGGCCCTCAAACCAAAAAGGGTGGACGTCACCTGTCCTAAAGTGTCCAAGAATTATCAGACGCACCTGAAAAAGGTCACAAAGAACTGCACAAGGTCCATGATGCTGTTGTGTTGGGAAAAGGCAATCTAGAGGGGGAAAATCACAAAACAGTCAAAAGCAAATCCACCTTTTCAAAATGACACTTTGTTGATAGTATGTTACAAATGTACATCAAGTGAAAGTGGGGTTCAACCACGCCCCCCCCAAAACGTTCAAAAAAAAAATGAAAATAAAAACAAGTACAATAAAATCAAGAGCACCATTTGAATTAATCGGATATCTGCTGCTTGGTAAGAGTTAGTCTGCATTTCTGTGGTTCCGGAATAATCTGTCCAGAGCATATTCCGGCATTTTTTTTTTTTTTTTTGTCAAATGCGGTGGGGAGGGTGTGTGTGTGCGTGTGTGCCAGGCCACATCACGGTGACACATCATTATCTACTGTAGACGCTTCGGAGGCATTCTGCCCCAAAATCATTTTGAGACACACACACGCACACACACACACACACACACACACACACGCACACGCACATACAATGTCAACAGCGGCGCGATTCCCTTCAGGGACAACACGTGGCGTCGGGCAACAGGGCGCGAGTCGTGTTGAAAGATTGATTTGCTGTCGCACGTTTGCCGCTTTGAATGAGGACGAGGAGCAAATGCAAATGTTTATTTGGGTCCAGATCGTAATACAGCAAGTGTGTGAAGTGAAGCTCTCCGGGGAGGGGGGGGGGAAGAAGCGCTCAAGACAGGAGTCAACTTCAGCTTTGAAATCTTCCTAAAATTCGGCCTCCTTTATTCCTGACATTAAAAAAAAAAATATTAAGAAGAATAATAATTGAGTCAGTGGCGTGATGTGCGGCGACCTGGCTAACAACAGGTCACAAGTGACATGCTGTGGGAACGAGTAGCCATAGTCTTGGTGCTGCTGCATTTTCACATCATGTAGCGGGGCCGGGGTCAAAGTAATATGTTGAGGGTTAATTCAGTTTCAAGACATCTATGGCGGATCAATGGAATCATTTGTCAAACACTGAAAGCATCGGGGGATAGCGCCAGTTTCTTTATATTGAGCGCTCTCGTAACAACTCCGCCGAAATCTCCAAGTGGCTTTGGAAAATACGGTCTGTGTTTTGCCAATTTTTTGGAAGCAATTAGTGGGTTTGGCCCTTTTGGAAAGCTCGAAATTGGACTTTCATCCAGGCATGCAAGAAAAAGAGAGACCTTATCCGATTCCTGAAGCGGCTTTAACGGCTCAAGCCGGTCGCTCCATAAATAAACGATTGTTTGCCACGGAATGGAATAGAAAACTATTGTTGGAACACCTCAATAGATGAGCCGACCCTCAACGTCCTACCCCACTACGGTCCAGCAATCCGGCGTGTGAAAGAGAGGGCCGCGACAAATACAACAATCGAAGGCAAAATGATCTGCAAAAAGAGACCGGATGTCGTTGAACAAATTTGTTTGCCCTCGTTGGAAAAATACACTTTCAACGTGAACAACGCTTCATTAGTCCATCCAATTTCTTTTGAAAGAGCGTACTCCAAACAAGCCCGGGGATATCGAGGATGAAACAAACAAAAATGTGTACTCGGGATCGCTCCGAGGCCACCGGGGGAACACAAACAAGTGTACCTGAATCTTGATGGGCCATGAGAAGTTACTGACGTAGACGTAGAAGGTGATGTTGGGGTTGCTCCTGAAGGTAAACTTCTCACAGGAGAAACTGTCTCGGTATTCCTTGATGTTGGTCTTGGACACGATGGGCACCTCCTCGCCTGAGATGGTGCCAGCTGTCGGCCCCAAAGAGTGCACGGTTACGCATCTGCCCGTACGGGAAATCAGCCGAAAGCCCGCCTCACTCACGCCGCGTTTACACTCTTTGAACATCCGGGTCCAGGAGAGGAAGCGGATGCGGACGGAGGTCAAGACTGCGAGCAATTTAATATCACACATTCAGTCCATGGAAGTGGTAAATGGACTCGAGTCAGCAACTTTGACTTTGGGCATGTGTTCAAAGGGCGCATCTATGGCTGCGGGCGTCGCCATTTTAGTTTCCGTGTGGCAAAAGCGATGCGCCATCGGGTGAGAATACGCTCACGGCCGCGTCCATCATGACGACGTGAACGCGAATGAATTGGCTTGCACGGGCTCTGGCAAACGGCCCACTGGACATATGTTGAAGCGTCTGCGGTCGTTTCGTAGTCACGCTCGTGTCAATGGCCTCAAGTCATTGACATTCCAACCCACCGCTGGGAAACAAAGGAACAGAAAACCACAGCTTGAGCGTGGCGACGTGCGTGTGTTTATCTTAATTGAAATCGCCCTCCTGCGCCGCCACCACAACCACCGCCTCCACCCAAAGGCGCTTACGGCTCTTGTCAATTGTGGAGAGGCGCCGTCGTGACTTCAGAGACGAAATATCTTTCGCGAGGAGGGGGCACCTCGCTTCAAATATTAATGACAGCATTGCGAAAAAGGTTACGCTGGCTACGGAGGAGCGTCGTGGTCTTAATAGGGTGGCGGGGGGGAATGTCAGCCGTTAATGTGGTGACGGGCATGGGTGGGGGAAAGAAGGAAGGGCAGGAGATAAACACCGCAGACCTGCACGGCCGCGCTGTCCTTGGCGTGTCTTTACAGCGACCGGCAAGATCTGCGACACAACTCAAAAGCAAACGCAAGGTGCGTTAACCCCTCACCATCTCACAATTTTTTGGTCGAGCTTGAGAAAACTATTCACCACTGAGAGACGCATATATTTGCCTGTTGACGTGATTTTTTTTTTTTTTTTTGTTTGGGGGTTTTTGCGTCATGTTAGCAGAGGAAGAAGACACTGGTTGATAACAGAGTAGCAGAGGTCAGCGGGACAGGCGTGGCTCCATATGGGGTTGAGGGTGGTGAAAGCAGGGTGATCAACTTCGTGAGATCGTTATTGGCAACGGTCGAAATCAACAACTGATATGCGGCGATTGGCTAGCTGGGGATGTGTTTGTGTTTATTCCGATGGCTCTCCAAGATAAATACTGCTGCGTTGGCGTAAGCATTTCTTAACTTTTGACCGGATTGTTTGTAAAGGATTTTCAATGCTGGGCTTTGAATTCGGTGACGCACAGCCAATTACCTTGCGAATGAAATCAACGGAGCTGCCTGGCCGTCTGTCGCGAGCTCGCTGCCATCCGGAAATGTTTCACATTACGTGTAAACCGCGCTTGATTAAATTTTATATTTTGGTGGCGGTTACTATTTAAAAATGAGATGCATCAGTGCCACTGACCACATTTAGCATCCCACCTTGATGGCCGTTAAAGTTAAGAGCGTGTTTTATTGTTTTCGAGGCATTAAGATTGAACTGGCGAAGGCACGCGTATGTTCGGGTTGACGTACCTGTTGATCCCACAGACCAGGTGATGTTGAGGTTGAAGTTGTTGGAGGCATTAATCGACATGTCCAAGTTCTTGTTGGCCTTTGGACAAAGAACAGCAGATATCAGGCAAAAACACGAGACGGAAGGTTGCGCGTGAAACATCAAAGTACGTCATGTGTCAGCGAGCCGAGAACACGATCAGAGCTGCTCTTCGGGGAAAAAGAGTGACCGAGTCATCACGTCGTCACCAGTGGCGTTAAATCGGGCGAGAGAGGACGTGTGATCGCTTGCGCCGATGTCACCCAGCCTGAAGGGAGCAGAGTGGCGACCGGGCGCCCCGCATCACATCGCGGTTGGCGATGTCACGACCGAGTCACTTCTTGAAAAGCGTGCCGACGCAAATGAGTCGCTGTGCGTTACCTGCTCAGGTGAAGCCATGAAGTTGATGGCCGTGTAGTGATTATCGTCTTCTTGGATGAGACTAAAGGTGAACTGGTAGTCGATCAGCAGGTTGTCTGTTGGAGAAATGAAGAGGACACGGCGCTAAAACGTACAAAGCCTCACGACGTGACCTCTTTGCCCTGTGAAGAGTCAGCCTATAAAGCGGCAAGCGATCGGACTGCCAATACCAAAACAACGGTCCGAGCGCGAGTCCGACGAATCAAAACACGATTGTAATCAAATCCATTAGCTGCAATCAGAGTGTCCAATTTTCTCGTCGAGCCGAGTGCCAAAATGCAACTTGTGCAGCAGGCTCGAAAACCTCTTAGCAATGATTGATCACGAATGGGATCATTTTGGAACCATTTGCGACGTGTTGCTGCCATTTCGACACAGGAACTGACAAAGACTCGGATAATTACGTGCGCAGTCGAAACTTTCGTAATGCGTTTTGTCTTTTGTTTCTCAGTCTGACCTCTTGAGGCGCTTTCAGCCGACGACATTTTGGGTCCCATTTACACAAGCCCACAAATTCACTCTTTACAAACCGGCATGTAACTGCCCATTTTTAGACTTAAGAGCGTAAAAGATAAATCCTCAAACAGAATGACAGCTTGTGTTTTGAGTCACGCCGTCGCGACAGCGATGGAGAACGTTCCCGGTGGTTTGAGTCCGTAACAGAGAAGACGCTGAAGAATAAGGGTCGGTGATGGGGAGGGGTTAAAACAAGCTCAGGGCTTGAACCTCTTGTCTTATCATTGAGCTTGTCATCACGCGATGGCATTTCAAAAGGGGACAAAAAGCTTGGCCCAAGCTTTGTTGCCTGCCGCCGAGTGTGAGATGGCAAAAATATATTTATTTATGATGCACTTCGAAGGGCAGCGGCTCAGTCATCTCCACTTTTCGTCTGTAACTCTCCTGTCAGACTCCAAGGCCGCTTTTGTTCCGTCTGGAGGAAATCAAACTTAGGCATCGGGTAAGAATGGTAATTAATGTCTTCATTGCATCTCTAATGGAAAAGTAAAGTGGATTTTGACATCAGCCAGACCTCCCTCAAGTGTCTCCAGGTGGTCCAAAATACTGCTGCTGGACTTCTAAGTGGTGCTCAAAAGAGGGAGCGCTGAATTCATTCTGGCCTCCCTTCACTGACTCCCTGTTGACTTCAGAGTTCATTTTATTTGTTTTTAAATCTTGCCAGACCACCGAAGTAGAGTTTGGGCATACCGTTACGCAGCCCTAACGATGAGAGGTGTGTGGTGTCCCTGTTATACGGACGGGCAGAACAAGAATGCGGCCCGTGATGAAAGCAAGTATGACACCTCAGCTCGAAATGAGCCAAGCAGTAGGTGGGTGACCGACTGTGCGCACGGCCCTCCGGAGTCGTCCTCCTCCTCCTCCTCCTCCGTCCCCTTGATTAGCTCAGATCGCTCACTCCTCGTGATGCGCTTGACATTTGCACGTCAAGTCATTCTGTCAGGGAACAAGCGCGGCGGGTGGCAAAGCGCTAAGACGGCCCATCTGCCGCCGAGCGGGAGGCTTGAAGTCAAGAGGCCGGCCGGGACTGTATATACTGCGTGTGGAAGCGCGGCGCAAATGTACTCACAATAACAGGTTCCCCTGAGTGGATTGCCAAGGTAACGGTTTTCTGAGTCACACCTGCAGAGAAGCAAAAACAGAAGAGAGAGGCGGATGAGCGCTACACACTTGCGTGGCCTCTGCCGCATCATTTTGTCAACACGCCGACATGAAAACTTCACAACATCTGCTCTGATCACAGAGGGAGCTTGGAGCACCAATGCATGGAGACATCCGGGGGGGCAAACATCTTTTTGCAGCGCTGCAAGCAAACTGCCTTTCATCCGCTAAGTTAAGCGGCAGGGGAGAGATCTCGCGAGGGGGTTGCGAGCGTGCATCCAAACAAAGCCCAAAATGATTCTCAACTCAAGAGAAATCGAAAAGTCCCAGTCAAGGACATTGGCCAAACATCAGCCTCCGGCAAATAAATTGGCCTTCTTATGTTGTGAGACCAAAATATCCATAAATGCACTTCTGCTGCATCGCGTCTCTCGGCGCGTTTGCAAACGCGACTTTAAATTCAAGTTATCCTCGAAAAACAATGAGGCAATAATAAGTCCGCAATTAACATATGGCCGGTGTGAAATGACTGTAAACTGCGGGCCAATTCATCTGTGAGCGCCACTAATGAGGGTTCTAACTCAGGGGGCTAAAAATGGGGCGTTTGCTGGATGGGCAATTACTCGCTTGTGTTCGCCTCGGAGCCATTGTTGTTATTTGACAGACGTGCCGGTTTTAAGGCCGGCGGCGTCTGCGGCGTGTCGCAAAAGCACACGCGCGCACACACACCATCTGAACGGCAAAGATGGAAAGTGGCATGACTAAACGGCGTCGGGCGCGGCGCAAACAGTCGCCCGGCATGCGAGTGAGACCAGGACGTGAACGATGACAGCAGTGCTTGCGAGGTTTGATTGCCATCCGAGAGAGAATGTCACATCCTTTTAATCACGCTATGAATCAGCGGCAGTTTTCAGCCTTCTTTTGCACTGCACTTATGGAAGCCAACTCCGTTTAGTCGGCTTTCACTTGTGGAGGGGAGCTACCATGTGATTTCTTGTTTTCAAGCATTTCTGTGCCCCCCCGACCCCCACCATGTTTTTGTGTCGGAAATCTCGCTCGATACGCATCGCAGAGCTGCAAGTGTATCGCGAAGATGTGCATCACATGATGATCAGCCTCGCTGATGGGAGATGCATGCGCCCGATGCATCGTCTCAACTACAAGCAGGAACATACGGCTGCGGTGTTTTTACCCGCGGCCCCCCATCCATGGAAGCTTTTTTGCAATTATTTCTTGGCGCACAGTGTCTCTCAAGTCACGGCGGTAACATTGCTGCACTTGAACCTGGCAAACGGCTGATTATTGTCGACCGTCCACGTGCGGCGCAGTGTGGTCAAAGAGACCATTTCGGCTTGCGAATATCCATTATCACGATGCATTTGTGCCACGGTTGTGCTATTTTATGCGCCGTTGGGACGATAACGCACAATCAAGGGGTCGTAGAGGAGATTGTGTGTAGGAGGGCAGGCCACCGAGCTGAAAAGGTGACGCGTTGTTACACTGGAGGTGGCAGTTATGAACCATTAAAGGGCAACTTCTGCTTTGATGCGTATTTTAGAAAGCATCATCATCACTAAGAAGAATATTGGCCGCATCTGAGCAGAAACCGGGTTGCGGCCAATCTCATGAAACGGTAACTGGTTTGGTGTTTCTTCAAGAAGAGGCCAGCAGTTCTTGAAGGCACACATTTGAGTTTCGCATGGTGAATACAAGTAGCCTTTCAATTTGTTACGCGTCCCGTCTAGACCCATCAGACGAGCGCCAATGTCCCTCCGGTGGCTTTTAGCTGCCAAAGGACAAACAGATTTGAACGGATGCGTGCCGTGGAACTAAATGCATGCTTTCAGAGTATTAAGTGACATGATCAAGTCTCACTTTGACATGATATCTCAGCAGTGAATCGAAAAAGGTCACGCAAGCATCAGCGAGTGGATCGGAGTGACGTCCGCTAACAGGCAGGCAGCGGCCGGAGTGCTCTTTAACACCCGCACAAAAAGACGGGGAGACAAACGCTGCCACGCACTTCTCGACCCTCACGCGGCATCACTCCTGAGGCGTGGCGGCGCGCTCGCATTTGTAGAACAGACAGACAGGCCTGCATGCGGTCCAAGGGGGGGGTCGAATGCCACTCCTCCCTGCTGTATCTTAATTTAATCTCGGTCTGCATGGACGCGCGCACGTGCTCGTCTCGACGGCGGTCCGCCATCGTTACGCTGTATCTTAATTTAATCAAAACACGCTCGGACCTGTGTGATCTGAGCTGAACGTTTGCTCCACACAAAAACGGGAGGAAATGAGGGGTTGGCATCACAGAAATAAACAGAGTGCAATAACAATCTAACTGGAAAGAGGGGCACATTTGCTTGATTAAAATAAATGTCATAATTGAATCGGTGTTTACTATTGTTTTTTTTTTTTTTTCTCGTCGCTTGGTTCTCGACCTCGAATAAATTATCTGGTCTGCAGACCTGAGGCAGCGGGCAGGGGCGGGGGAGCTCGGAGAGGGAAGGAGGGGCCATTTCAAGATTTGATACCAAATCATAGGCTGTTTCAAAGTACTCTGAGAGCCAGTGAAGGGATGCCAGAGCAAGAGTGATGTGCTCCCTCTTACGAGGACCAGCCAAGAGGTGAGCAACGGCATTCTGGACCGCCTGACAAGAGCTGACAAGACCGGTTGGAGCAGCAGATGTGGGGCGGGGGGCGGGGGCTGATTACAGGCAACGAGATAGCGGGAATGACATCACCAAACAGCACACCAACTCAACTGTTAATCAATAGACCAATTTGATTAGACTCGAAACAGGTAATTACTGGAGCGCGCTAATGTTGGAAGGTGAAAACGCATTTGGATTTTGAAGATTAGAGACGTTGGCATCACTTTGCACGGAAATAATATAGCTTGAGCATACGGACCATAATCAGATGAGTTAGAAATGGTTGCATCCGTGTAGTTCTATTCCCGGCTTCATTTTAATTTGATAATCAGTAATGGGCACCAGGAAGCGTCCCAAATCTGGTCGGAGGGCAGATCCCTCCGCTCAATGGCTTGCGATTGGCCCGCTGCTGTCTGCTTTCATGTTCCAGTCGCGACTGTGAGCCACCTGCTGCCCCGGGGTCGCTCCGCATTGCACTACAACGGGAGGCGCGCAAACATTGGGCCAAGGCGCTGTTCATTTTGGTTCCATCTTGGATTTAAATCCATGGAGGTCGGTTGGTTGAAGAGGACATCGAAGAAAAACGACAACAAAGATTCAGCAATAAGTCAATTTCCGAGCTAAGCCAATAATATGGATTTCTGTTGAACTCGAGGTTGAAACGCTTTGAAAAGCCCCGTATCGGCATGTCTTTTGCAAAACAGCCATTTTAGGCTAAATTTGATCACAATGTATGAATTTGGAATGAGCAGTGGCCTCCTTGCGTTGCTTGAACCGCATTCCAAACCCCTTGGCGTCCATTTTGCTTACAACTGGGAAAAGTGGGCTTGCTAAGTGGGGATGGTCCTGCTACACCGGGGCTGGGGGGCCAAATTGACCCTGTCAGCAGTAATCATGCTGGAGGTGCACTTTCTGACCAACACCACCGCACAACAGTTTTCGCTTTTCCAGCAGTCAGGAAAAAGAACGGGAATCCACCTTTGAAGGGTCGTGTCGGGAAGGGCGGCTGATCGCTTAAGGTCAGACAATTACGCTTATGACAGAGCCATTAAAAAAAAAAAAAGGAAAAAAGAAAAAGTCACGAGTCACAATTAGATGCAAATGTACCTCAGAGGTTATACTTGCAATACGAGTGGCGCTCTTGTCGCTTTCAACTTTGATTACGCAATTAGGAGAAAAAGGTGAGTGAAAGTCAGCGGGCCTTAATGTGATCCAAATCCCATTAATTTCCCCCTAATGTGTGTATGCTTATCTGGAGTGTCCTTCTGACTTCTCCTTGACAGCAATAATGACTCACTGAAACGCCTGCCGACAGTTGCACAGATACACCCCGCCCCGCACCCTCCATAGTGTTTGAAAGGTGGGGTTAAGAACCTGAACTCATCTGCGCTGCCCTCCATTTCTGATTTGTTTTCACGTGGCTCCATTAATCGCCGCGTCCAATATCATTAAAAAGAGAACCTACCGGCAAACGCTCATCCAGAGAAAGAAATACATGAAAGATGGCATCATTGATCACCGGGGATGAACATTTCTCAGACAGGACAGAATTTGCTTTGGAAACGCGCGGCAGAATTTGCCGGAATGTTCTCGACCGCCAAATCCACCGTGCTGAACTGTCTGATCTCACTCTTTCATGATGCTTCTAAAAGCTGAATGATGTTCAGGGCAGCCATTGGAAGAGCTGAGCTGAGCCATGATTGTGTTGTGTGTGTGTGGTACTCACAGCTGGCACTGGTCCCCTTTGATGCCCTTGGTGGTGCAGAAGCACTTGCCAGTTAGCACCTGGCACATACTCGCATGGCCGTTGCACTTACAGGCTGGATGGGGACAGATGGGGAGAATATGGAAAAGAGTGGATGGGAGACAGACATCAGCAACCACAACGACGCAGAAAAGGTGCCGTTTTTCTTTCTGTATTAAGGCGAGGGGGGGGGGGGGGGGGGGGGGGGTCATGCCAGTTAAGCGTCCTAACATAACCGCGGCTGAGGACCTTCGTTGACATACAAGATGAGGATGTCCCAAGGGGGCAATCCAGCAGTCTGTGATCCTGACTTTTTACTCCGCAACCTGTATTGACGTTTAACAGAGAAGGCTCACATTGTGGATTCTTATTTTTTAATGTGTGTGTGCCGTCAACATAGCTGCAGCGTTGTCGAACGTGTGAAAGACGAATGCGGCGGCATCCCTTCGGGTTTCGTGGCTCAGGAGCCCGTTGCGCGTGCTTGGCTACGCTTTAAAACACGGAGCAGGTGTATTACGGTGGGCTTCAGTGGGCACGGTGTCAACAAAATCTTTGCCCACTCCACCGCCCCTCCCCTCTCCTCGAGATGACACGTAGGAATATTTCAGGCGACCGGCGCTGCTTTAAGGCTCGTCAACGTCACAGCGAACAAGGGCTTGGGCTAATTGCCATTAATTGCAGCCTGATTTCAAACCTTCACCGTGGAGGGGATCCACGACATGATCGGATAAGAACCCGGAGAATGTGGCACACAATGGCTTGATTTGATTCCTCCACGGGCTTTAGTAGGGGAGGAATGTTTCCCTCATTGATGAGCACCTGTGAAAGTTTACAGGTTGCGGTGATGAACAGATGTAATGTCGCGCCGCAAAACTCCCCGCCGTGCGCGTGCATGTGTTATTTCTAATCAATCCAAAAGGAACCAACTTGTGAATGCGCACCTCGAGCATCTGTGAAGCTGACATTCATGCGGGAGTCGTAGCGAAGCAGAGTAGAGCACGCTTCGCTTGTCAATCGTGACACACGCATGTTCCCATTTGCCAGTGGTCTTAAAAATACTTTGATGAACTGCCCGGTGGCCTCGACAACGACAAGACATTCAATAGCATGGATCAGTCAACTGTTTGGCTGTGGGCGTCCGTCCATTCACTCAAAACTTTTTCGCGGGCAAACGCTCCCGAAAGAGAACCTTTGACCTTGGCTCGCGCATTGCTGCTTGCTAGAACGTCAGCCTAACATCGCGATCCTTGATATTTGCTTGTCTATTGATGAAATTTGTGTCGCCATCTGCACTTCACTGGGCTAAGATGAACGGACCGTCCCATCTAAGCGAAGTCCAACAGCGCCATCTCTTGGCTAAGACACGCCATGACAGGAAATGAATGATGCAGGTGTTTGCTTTGTTGCCGCTCACTCAACCAATTGCTGTAACACCAAGAGCGAGAGTTTTGACAGGGACTCACCTTGGCATTTGCCGCCGTTGGTGGGGTCGCCGTGGTAACCGGCTATGCAGGTCTGACATTGAAGACCCGTGGTCAGGTTGCGGCACTGCTCGCACACGCTGCCGTTCACGCACGTGCTGTGGCCGTTACACTGGCACGCTGTGTGTGGGGGCGGGGGGTTAAAGAGACAGAGGTCATACCGCTTCTTCATGTTCACTCATTGTGACATTCACCATATTTGTGGCATTTCAAGGGCAGAGTCGATACGTAAGCCAAAGAGGAAGTGGCTTTCTCACCGGGGCAATGAATGAAGGACCACTCGTGGCCTCTTTCTTTGGGGCAGATGCCCGGCTCCAGGCTCATGTCGTGGGCCTGCCCCTGCTTGGCCGGCCTCTTCATGGGCCCCCTGTACGAGCCCTCCGTGCACAGGCCCTTGCCCGTGCTGCTGGGGTCGCCGCACCAGCCGCACTCGGGCTGCTCCAGGCACTGGCCGCACGTCCGCATACCTGAGCAATTCTGGGCTGAAGGGCGACCAAAAAAAAAAAAAAAAAAAAAAAAAAAAAAAGGGGGGGGGGGGGGGGGTTTTTAGAGGACCTCCATGGCCTCTTCTGGCTGTTTGACGGTGAAAGCAGGGACTCCTGGCTAAAAAAAAAAAAAAAAAACAAACAAAAAGGGGGGGGGGGGGGAGATTTTGAAGGTGAAACATGTTTGAACCCACTGCGGCTGACCCTCTTTGGACTCCGTTCGAAAATGATGGGTCAATGTCCAGCCTGGCGTCTGCAGGGATTCCGCACGTTTCATTTGCAAGGTCACCTTGACGGCAAACATCTGCATTGTGAACCCGTGCCGCAATGACAGTGTGAGAGGATTTCATCGAGTAGGATTTCTCAGCCATGGACAGATTAAGGTGCTTTAAAGTGCTTTGTGCAGGGGCATTAACGCGTTATCTGTTAAGCTGTCAGAACAACAGATGTGAGAGCAGATACAAGGCTAAGTCTTTGGTTTTAAAGCGGCGACGTGAACGATGAGAGAGAGAGAGAGAGAGAAACAAAACAAAACAGAAAAAGGCACCGAATGAGGCCTGAGTGCCAAGTAGCACCCTTACCCCGAGCTACAAAAGGGCTTCGATCCACTCGCAGAGCCCACTTTGGCTCGCCGCTAAATTGCCGGAGGAGCCGCGGCGTTGCCACTTTGGCCGCCAGACGAAGCACTCTTGGACAGAAAATGTCGCCGCCATCTTAAAGAGACAAACGCTCAGTGCTGCTTTTTCTTTGATGTCAAACCAATCTCCAGCTAGTCTGCTAATGGATGTGTAGCCATGACAACACGGCGGCAATCAGCCCAAAGTAAGGCCATTTAATTGTGTTGGGAAAGGCGGGGTGGAGGGCTTTGAGTGGTCGACGGCGCAGGAACGAGGCGGTCCAAGCTTGACGGATGAGGAGGTTGGGTTTTTTTTTCCCCTTGCCACGCTTAAAAAATATATAATAAAAAAAATACAGAATGCAACTTCAACATGGATTTTGAAGTAAATCAATTCTAGCAAGCAACTAAATCCCATGCTCGGACTTTAACAAGCCTGAAGAAATGCATTTTTAGGGCCCAAACCTACGCTTGCGGCACCGACACTGCTTTCAAATGCATTCGGGAGCTCAAATCTCGGAGCATAATGCCAGGGAAAGGTGATGTTGCGGGCAAAGGTGAAATTGTGCTTCAACCGTCGAGAGTGACTCTTTATAAATCGTTTTGTGTTTGTATTTTAAAAAAGCAAATGACAAGCGTTCCACTTTAGAATATGGTGCGCATCAAAAGGCAAAGAAAAACCAAGCGTCATTTTACTTTTGTTCAAATCGAGGTTCTGTTACCCTCTCCTCATTGGCGTTCACAAACTTCTCAAAGGCTGCCAACGGCGGCAAGTCAATTTGCAACTCAGTCAGCGGGGAAATCAAACGGCGAGAGGGGAGGCTGCGTGCTACTAATTGGCCATAATAAAGCCCCCAAAACACCTCTCGAATCCAATCACAAAACACCAACACAAGAGGTTAGTTTCCCCTTTCTTGTCTGCTGTCGTGAGCATCGACGGGCAACTTGAGGAAGCGACACAAGGGAAAAGCGATCGGCGCCACACAGGCATGGTTGGATTTGGGGGGGGTTTTCTTTGTTTTGTTTTTTTGAGGTGCGGGGATGAGGCGCTCACCCAGGCAGTCTCCCGTCTGCCACTCCAGACACTGGCCGTACGGGAAGGAGATGACATAGGCGGTGGAGTCCACGCAGCGCCGCGCGCTGCTGCACCACATGCACTCCATGGCCTGATTGGTGCAGTTGGCACAGGTGGTGTGCAGCGAGCACGGCTTCTTGCAGGGGAGGGGGGAGCCCTGATTGCGGTTTCCTGCAGGGGAACAAAACGCGGCAGGGTGTTTATTTCCTGAAATTATTGTCCAGCGCTTCCTCACGTTGGGTACAGCCGCTATATTTATTTGCTACATTCCAGCCCGCTCCCCCTCCGCCCCCTTCCATGTTTTGTTTCTATTTATCAGCTGCCACCAGAGATCACATCGGTGCATTTGGGAGAAAGTGAGACTGGATTATTCTGTCAATTATTTCATCTGATCAAAATGATTTACTTTTGCAGAGATTGTTCATGACTCAGACTACGGCTGAAAAACATTTTCTCATCGTTCATATTTTATGCATTCACATTTTTCCTTTCATTGATGCAGGCTCCCTACATGACAGCTTTGGGACAATAATTCTTTTATTTTTTTTTCATTTTTTATTTTATTACTGACATCTAACTTGAGTATTTGATGATTAATTTGAGGAATGTTTCTTTGTGGATTAATCAATGAATTGTGACACAATTGAAAGATGCGCCGTGCGTCCACGGAGTGCGTCGCGTGGTCACTCACCCGTGGCTTTTTCGCATATGAGGCCGTGCGCGGTGGCCGTGCACGGGTTGGCCCGGAGGCCCGACACCTGCGGCTCCTCCAGGTAGGCGCAGAAACCCGAGTCGCTGGGCTCGCCGGGCAGCCAGCGCAGGCTGCTGTTGGTGAAAGGTGACATGTCCTCCCAGCCCCAGTACGACACGTTGATCTTCCTCAGGCCCACCCAGGGCGACAAACGCTAAGGGCACACAAGATATTTAAAACACATCAATGCCTCCCACCGCCGCATATTCAGAAGGCGGATAAAGGCCGCGGCTCTGTTGCACCGTTTAAAAATACATCACATTTTAGGCTGAATACTGAGAATGCCGTTAAAAAAGGGGGGACAGAGGAAATCATTTCACAGATGATTTCTTCACTTGCCTTCAGGGGTTGAATCTGAAATGTAAAGGGGTGGGGGGATGTCAGGCTTGCAGACTGATAAACAACATCCGATTTTAACCGAGTTGAAATAAGCATGGGGAGATGACGGTGGGCGCGGGGGAATTAATCACAAGAATTGGGATGTTTACTTGTGCAGGATTGACCCCCAGGACAAAAACTGATTTATGGGTATTTATCTGGGATACTGTCTCTGTTTTAGTGATAATGCAGACAGAGTGTAGAATGTAAAAGTGTCACGGAATATTTGGGCATATTATTAGTTATGTACTGAATGACGCTTTGGCTGCACGGTACCTACTTGGCTACGTTCTCCACCTGTTAACCTGCACCCAGAACTGAACAAAAGCTGCTCTTGTCAACTAGAGTAAGACAAGATGATAAAAAAAAACAAAAACCTGCAGGCAGGTGCAAACGCCCAAGTGAGGCAAGGAAAAAAACAAAAAAAAAAAAAGAAGCGGAATGCAACAGAGCGGATCATGGAAAAGGCCTGTCTACCTTGTCCTGCTGCTGCAGCTTCTTCAGCTCATCCAGAACAAAGTCCACCTGCTTGGCGGAGGTGAGCGAGGCGATGTTGCCATGGAGATTTTTACAGTAGTGCTTGGCGTTGTCGTAGCTCTCGCGGCTGGAGTTGATCCGCAGGCAGGCCTCGCCCACCTGACTCCAACCCTCGCTGCACTGCTGGGCTGCCAAATGACGATGCAAAGTGGTGACACATATCTCTCTCTCTCTCTCTTTTTGTACAGGACAAAACAATCATGCTAAATCGGTGGGGGAAACAAGACTCAAATTTGGGTTGAGATTTCGCAATCTCTGAAGCCCTAAAATGCCCACAATCCGACTCTATAGGAGAGTGTATTGAAGAGAAAAAAAAAAAAAAAAAAAGCAGATTCAAATCTATGGAGACGCTATACAACGCTGACACTTTTGAATATTCTTTGAAAAAAATGCATTTCCACCAATGAGGGAGCCTCCACACCCGCAGTTGCATAGACAAACACTAACTATTTCGGGCAAGTAAGTGGGGCCGCTGCAGGAAATCACAATTAGAATCTCACCAAAACCCTTCTGGTTGGTGAGAAAGACCCAATTGAAACGGAAAACGAACACAGTCTCAAGCCTCCGTGTGCGCCGAGCGCGGAGTGTGCAAATCTTACCGGGCAGAGCGTGGCACTCGGACTGGTTCAGGTCCCAGTGACAGTTGAGATTCAGCGAGCAGCTCTTGCAGTTGCCAAATGACGATGCAAAGTGGTGACACATATCTCTCTCTCTCTCTCTTTTTGTACAGGACAAAACAATCATGCTAAATCGGTGGGGGAAACAAGACTCAAATTTGGGTTGAGATTTCGCAATCTCTGAAGCCCTAAAATGCCCACAATCCGACTCTATAGGAGAGTGTATTGAAGAGAAAAAAAAAAAAAAAAAAGCAGATTCAAATCTATGGAGACGCTATACAACGCTGACACTTTTGAATATTCGTTGAAAAAAATGCATTTCCACCAATGAGGGAGCCTCCACACCCGCAGTTGCATAGACAAACACTAACTATTTCGGGCAAGTAAGTGGGGCCGCTGCAGGAAATCACAATTAGAATCTCACCAAAACCCTTCTGGTTGGTGAGAAAGACCCAATTGAAACGGAAAACGAACACAGTCTCAAGCCTACGTGTGCGCCGAGCGCGGAGTGTGCAAATCTTACCGGGCAGAGCGTGGCACTCGGACTGGTTCAGGTCCCAGTGACAGTTGAGATTCAGCGAGCAGCTCTTGCAGTTGGCCAGCTTGTTGCACATCCGCTCGTTGCGCACGGGGCAGGCGGTGAAGTTCCTCACGTTCTAAGGCAAGCACAGGAGGGGCACTTCTATTGAGGCAGTCGTCGATTGTTTGCTATCTACCGAAATCAAGAGTGGCCAGTAAATTGGTGAGATTCTTTGGTGTGAATGTCGCCCGTTGAAAATGTCAAAATGGACAACCTTGGAGGGATTTGCCGGACTATTCACACTTTGAGCCGAAACGTCGCCTCGAGCATATAAACTGGGGAATATACCAAAAGAACAGTGGACGAGGCAAACTGATGGACTTTCAAAACTACAAACGGTAAACTGTGTATTAAACGGAGGCCTAGAAGTCAGAAGAAACGCACGAGATAATGAGTTGAGAACGACAACGAGGGAAAAATGGTGCTATGACGCCCCCTGTTGGCGTACTCACAAGAGTACAGTTAGTGTATAATGAGATACACTTCTTGTCGTCGCACCACTGGCACCCGTTGGTGTTTGCCGTGCAGCTGGCGCAGTCTGAGAAGCGGTAGCAGAGCTCATCCACAGTACCTGAAATGAAGGAGAGGAAGACAAAACGATGAGCCCGCGCGCGTATCGATTCCCGGTCGAGGTCCCACAAGCAGCTCGCGGGGTCGACGCCGGAGGAAGCGGGAGAAATATTGACGAGGACAATCACGAAAAAGATGACATGCATGTTTCACTATTCCAGCGGTCGCAACCTGGTTTCGGCGGGCAAAAAGGGGCAGGGCTGACGCTGCCCGTGCTGAGGCCGGCTTCCCAGGGCAGGCAGCGGCCTCCGCTCCAGACGCAGCGCACCCCCGGGCCGGCCTTGGCGCACCGCTCCTCCGTGGAGAAAGCCCGGCAGCTGGGCGGCCGATACATGAGCACGTCGTTGAGGAGGACGCCGGAGAAGCCGCCGAACACGAACATGGACCTGGTGAGGGCGAGGCGGTCAAACCCTGGCGTCTGCAGAGCGCGCGCGAGGTTCCGCCACTCACCCGTTGCTGACCACGGCCGAGTGCCCGAAGCGGTTGACGTCCCTGTGCAGGTCGGGCTTGGGCAGGACACTCCACTCGTCGCACGCTGATGAGGGAGGGGAAAAAAATCTGAACTGGACGGCCGACAAATGTCCTCCTCCGGTTTCCTCACTGGCTGCAGACGCCTCGGCGGGCCTCACCGATGTCGTACGCCAGGAAGTCCGCCGAGAAGCACTTGGCGCCGCTGCTTAGTGACGTGTCATTGTGCGTGTTGCCGCCGAAGATCAGCAGGGTGCCGCTGAGGAGCACGGCGGAGTGGAGGTAGCGGGGGATACCGCTTTCTCGCAGGATGAACCTACAACAACAATCATCCTGAGCAAAGACGTCGAACAAATGGACAAAACACAGGCTTGGCCGACTGGAAAATGCGCGCCCCGCTAAATCCAGCCGCGCCTCAGCAAACCCACCACGTGCGCGTGTTGACATCATAGCGATAGAGGTCGTCCACCAGGCCAAATTTGCTCGCCGGCAGCGCCTTGTAGCCTCCGTGGACGTAAACGCTGCCGCCGGCTTGATCGTAGGCGCTGGTGTGGCCGTAGCCTCCCTGCGGAATGGCACCTTTGGTCTCTGGCACCATCCAGGTGTTGGTTCCTGCAGGGTGCAAATCAGGCCCCCAATCGGTCCAAGTGTGAGCAAGCAGGGCACGGCTGCCGTTTGAAGCAGGAGGACTCACTCAGATGATACTCCTGAACTTTGCTGATGTAGCTGTACAGGGGCGAGTGGCCGAAGATGACGAGCATGACCGCCTCGCCGCTTTCCAGGACGACGCAATGCGCCGTGTGACCTTCCACCGCGTACAGCTGCACCTGGGCGGGCGAGCCCGCCACGGGGTTCTTCCGCTGCCAGGTGCGAGCGGGAATGTTGAACGCCCACAGCTCGTCGGTCACGTTGGCCCAGCCGGACTCCAGCTTCCCGCCGAACATGAAGATGTCCTCCTGAGTGCGGGAGAAGACGCGTCAGGTGATGCTCGCTTTCGCTTCGGCGGTCCCGGTAAATCAAGTCCTACCTGGTAGGAGGCGAGCGAGTGGCTGTATCTGGGCGTGGGCCCGCTGTTGATGGGCACCGTGTTCCAAATGCCGCTCTCCAGGTTGTAGCTGGAAAGCAACGGCAACTTTAGCGAGCACATCAATGGAGAACATTTTGAAATCAATTTCCCTTTCGGTAATTTGAGAGACAAAGTTGCGTTTCGTTATTTTACTTTGAAATGCTTCATATGTTTTTAAAGTCTTCTGTCAATGTACTTGGTAATTTTAGTACCTTCAATTCTTTTTGGAATGTCTGAAATGCAGTTGCCTTTAAATGTTGCATTTTGAAACGCAAAAGCACATGCATTGAATTATCCCGAGTACGAAATCAAGCCGCCTTGGGTTCCCTTGCCACAATTGCCTTTGTGAGGGCAACACTCGGATCTCACTCGGGTACATGAAGACGTGTCTATTGAGTGTTCCGGCGGGGCTTACTTGAGGATCATCTGCAACGAGGTGACGTTGAAGGTGTAGCCGCCCACCACCCACATGACCTTATCCTGCACCACGACCTTGTGGGAGGCCCGGCCCAGCGAGGTGCCGAAGGGCTTGACGCTGGGCAACACCCAGAACGACTCGGCGGACGGCACGCTGAGGGAGCAGTCTGGGCCTGAGACGGTGAGGAGGGTTGCATGCCAAGTGTCATGACCACACACCCGCTTACGTTTTGCTTCAAGGAAACACTTCCTACATACCAACCTCAGCCATGGCTGGAGCGAGAGAATTGTAATTGCATCAGAATGTAAAATCACGGTCACGTGGCGCAAAGCGAAAATGATCTCGCGCTCACTTCCTTTTGGTAGCTTTGATGCGAAGCCGGGACTATTTTGACTTGAAGCCGAGCAATGCGGGCCGCTCTCACCTTGCCAGCTGTCGTTGCAAACGCACAGCTTCTCGCCGGTGAGGTCGCAGTAGCCGCGGTCGGGGCTTCCGCAGTTGTTGCGACAGTACGGGATGTCGCAAGCTTCCCCCTTCCAGTACTTGTCGCACTCGCAGTACACGCGGCTGGCCGCCGAGTTGCCCGGCGTGCACTTCCCGTGGCCCGAGCAGTTGCTGGGACACGAGTTGATCCTGGACACAAACGTGCCGTGGCCAACATAAACATCAAAAAATAATAAACGCCCCCACTTGGCCATGAGGGAAACAAAAAGGAGCAAACGTAACGTTGGAATGATTTGAATCTATTCCATCGATGTTTCGAAACGCCACTCCCCCTACCTAGCTGCAAGTGAGAAAGTTATCACAGCATACGGACTACAATCCACATTGATCAGCTTGCCTGCCGTTGTCGGAAAGGATGGAAAAGTGGAGCGGCGCACTCACGAGTAGAATATTTCAAATCCTGTCAGGTTGTAGGCGGCGTCGCTGAAGAAGTGCAGCAGCGCATAGCCCGACATCGTCTCCACTTCGGGGATGGTCTCGTTTCCCAACACCTCCGGTACAATGAGGCCGCTGTGAACAAATACGCAAAATGTATCACGCTGGTGGTGGGGAGACTCGGGAGGAGACTGCAATGATATTTCTGCCGTGGCCACTCGCCACTTCTGTCGCAAATGTTGTAGCGGTGGAAAAAATTAGCCAGACGACCACCGCTACTTTTTGGTGTCTCGAGTAATCAAGTACATGAGTGAACATTTAAAATACACTGCCATTAGAAATGCAATTGAGAACAACAGAGAGTCAAACATTTTTTTACTTACATCTAAACTATGGGTAGCAGCAAAGCGTATTTTCTTCTCTAGGAAGATGAGGACAACTTTGGGCTATGAGACAAAGTGACATCGGAACCAGACTAACAATTCTGCTGGCCAAAACAGCACAGTTGAGTAAGCTGGGTTTGTTTCAATCAAAAAAATGTCATGATTCGTCAGAATTGCAACTGTGCCAGGCAGTCAGCAGAAGTGTGCAATCGTTTTGTGCTGCAGCACATCGCCCTGGAAGCTTTGTGGTTTCAATGTTGTAATACCGGGGCATTTTATGAGTACAGACGTACCATAATATTGGTGCACCAGAATAACAAAAAAGTCAAAGTGAAAACAAAACACAAGCTAAAATGCTTGGATTGGGAGTTTTTTTGGGGGGGGCCTCACCTGAAAACAGCAATGAGAGGAGCGTACACGGAGTCTCCGTCGTAAATGTACATGTGGTCCCAGCTACATTCCGTAGCAAAGTGGTTGAAGCGTAAGCGGAGCACGGCGTTCGGGCTGTTGAAGAGAGAGGAAAAAATTTTTAAAAAAAAACATCGCAGATGAAGCATTTCCCTTCCATCTTTATTGATTGAATGCTCGTAGTAATTGTCAGGACATTTCGTCCAATGTTACACCAAGAACAAAACAGCAGAAAGGTAAATGAATAGCCACCGAGGCCGGTACACTGTCGATGCAACATTCTTGATGGCAAACGGCCTTGTCTTCACAATGACTGCGGTTGCCGTGGCAACTCGGCGGATGTGCATGTTCAGTGATGTAACCCCTGCGTCTCTCTGAACCAGGGCCAATTAAAAGCCAGCGGTTCAAAAGGGACACACGCTGTTCAGCCGCACTTATGAACGTCAATTAGAGTGACTCACTAGCCCTCGATAAGCCAGGTGCATTTTGTTTTGTACTTGTAGTTGATCGGACCGTCCGTCAGGAAGCCCGAGGGCTCGGTCAACCTGAAAAGAAAAGGCAGAAGGAGAGTAGATTAATAGCTCGCGACATTAACTCGGTAATTAGAGGTCCTGGGTGGAGTCACTGCCCGATATCGTGTGCCTGGAAAGTATTTGCAGTTTCATTATGTTGTCAATGTGGTGTACTGTGAGTAGAATTTTGAGGGGAAAAACAAAGGAATGGAATCCGTTTTGGAATCAGGTTGGAAGGAAAACGTGAAAAGTGCTGCGAATACTTTGCCGATGCACCGTTCGTATCTCCAGTGATGCACAACTCCTCCTGCGCTTCAATGCTGATTGGTGATAGCATTTAGCCACAAAATGTCCCACAGCTCGGCACAGTGCTCCACCCCACCTATCTCCAGCACTGCCGTATGCTCTGAAAAGGATTGCCTTCATCCAACTACATTGTGGCTGCAGCACTGTAAGTTAAACGCACTCTAAAGGACATTTATGGTAAGACAAAGAAATAATGCCTCCAATTTGACTAGTTTTTTTTTTTTTTACTATTTAAAAAAAAAAAAAGAGGAAAAAAAAAACCAATGAAAAAAATTGAAAACAGAGTATGCCTGTTTGCGTCAGGAAGGGCATCCAGCGTAAAAACTGCTGAGCCCCTGAGGGTCAAAGTCCCAACAACTTGCACTGTGTTAAGCTTTGATTTGTGTTATGTACATTTATTTTTGTATAATTACTTTTAATGTGGCAGCAAAGGACGCTTTAATAAAAGTTTGACCAATTGTACACCGGCGGCTATTTGGATCATTTACTTGTCTATGTTTTCGTCACCCAAAACGAACCCGCGGCCACAGCCAGCGCAAATGTCAGAAGCCTGCCCAAAAGAAGACTTTTTCCCCCAAGAGGCCGTGTGTTTTGGCTTTCCTTGAATTGTGTCTTAAGGCCATGTCCAATGACAAGCCTTTCTAAGAAGGCCAAGAGCATCCACGACTTCCTGTTTATCAACGTAACCATACTTCAGCGCCATCATCTTGATATAGAGCTGCCACAAAGTGGGGGTTGGATTTCTTGCCACGACAAATGTAAAATCAAAAGTCAACATAACTACTCCCTCGTGTTTTGACGTGGAGAATGGTGGTATCAGTCACGACCATGACTTGAACAATGAAGGCATTTACGGTTAGAAATTCACTCTATATTATAGAGGTTACAAAGTTATTTAATATTACCTTAAAAAAGCATTTGTACACATAAAAAGCATCCCGCCCAATATTGACAGACTATTTAAAAGTTTATTTTTGTGTGGAAGCAGCAACTGTCATTTAAGTTGTGACAATTTGTTTACATATAAATCCCAAAGGAATTTTTTTTAACAGAAAAACACACACAAAGTCGATTTTTTCAATCAAGCTACTTATTGTGCAAAAAAAAAAATGCAGCTGCCATTCCACCTCCCTTGGAAGCAATTCACCTCACATTATCTTTTTTTTCCGGCTGACACTTCACACATTCAAACTAAGTGAATAAAGAAGAAGGCAAAAAAAAAACAAAAAACAAAAGTCAGTTCCAGTTTTATCAATCACTCCATCTGAAGGGCTTGTTTACTAATGGTGCCATCCAAGCATGTGCCACCCGGAATTTACTGCGCGTGACAACAGGGCTTTAACTAATGGTGATTGGTGTCACCAATACCTAGCCCGTATTAAAAAAAAAAAAATAATGTGGGTTGCCAAAAACTGCCCCTCCCCGCATTAAAAAAAAAAAAATCATCAGTGGCATTGAGACACAACAAAAGTCACTTCATCTTAAACAGCTTTGTGGGGGGGGGGCGGCGGGGGGTCAAAATTGCATTTCAATTACTAAAAAGTAGCATTCCATGCACGATTATTGCTCCAAGGTGAAGGCGTTAATGGTGTCATAAATAAGGCAAAAATTTGACAAGCATCATCTGGCATTTTATGCCAAGGTGAAGCTGAACAACTTACTTGAACCGGCCCTGGCAATGCTGGCACTGGTCTCCGACCCATCCCGGCTCGCACACGCACGACCCGTTGAGACATTTCCCGGACAGACACGACTTGTCACAGGCTTTGGGCGGCGAAGAGTGGGCGAACACGACCAAGTGGACCAGAACCCACACCGCCACCAAGTATCTTCCACGGGTTCGTTGATCCGAACATCTCCCGGCTGGATCCATTTTGGGGAAAATTTGCAACGGTGTTTCAAGTGGGACTAAAAAAGTTCTGCATATTTAAATGGGGACTGCATGCAAAACGTGGGGGGAAATCGCCGCTTTCTGGATTCCGGAGTCAGGTAGGAATTCCAAACGAGTCAAACGGGGGATGCGAGCGGGTTGAAAGGCTCGTTTAGCGGAGAGCTAACGCATCATCTGTTAGCCCGTTTAGCTTCTGCGCAGCGTCCCAGCATTGATTCATGACCGCTCTCTTTTTCCTCCTCGCTCTCTCTCCCCCGTCTTTCAAATCGCAGCCATTTTTAACGCGTCAACTATCCTCAAGACAGGCCACGGGGTGTCGTGCCACGCCGCGAGTCCTTCCACAAGCCGCGGCAACGGAGCCGGACGCCGTCCACGCCAGAACAAAGGCTCGGAACCCCCGGAACCAGCGCGAGGGCTGCGGCCGCCAACATGGATGTGGAGATCGGGGAGGAGGAGGAAAGGAGGAGGAGGAGGAGGAGGATGAGGCTGTCCTCTCCCCGACTGGAACAGTGGAAGCGGGGTTAGGGAGCACTTGAAGCGCTCGTTTGGGCCCACTCGCGCCACGCGTCCGAACGGCGACCTGACTTTCGCGGTGGGGTGGGTTATTTTAATCCAAGATGGCAAATCGGCGTTGTTGCTGTCTAAACAAAACAAGAACTGGCAGCCGACGCGTCCATAGTCGGCTCCTCAGGTTGGAGAAAGCTAAACACGAAATCCGCATGCGCAATGGGGAACGACTACCATTTAAAGGGACAGGTCGTCCGTTTAGGGACACAAAACGTGATGAAACATTCTTTTGAAACGCGCGTAACATTTGATCCTTTACGTACGTTGTATATTTGTATCCTGTATTGGTACCTGAAATTAACGACAATATGTGAAGGAATCAATGACTTCTTCCAACGCCCGGATAGCCCTTGTTGGGCGCATGCGCACTCGCTCCAAAACAGATTCTGTATTCTCACCAACAGATGGCAGTGCAATGCGCTCCGATGGATGACTTACTACAGTATTTTTGAAACATTGTCTGAAAAAACACCAAAAACTGCACCTCCTGTATGCACAGCGCCAATATGAGTGGAGCTGCGGTGTGTTTTGAAGATTCAAGAAAATGCACAGTAAAAGCACAACGGTAAACTGAGCCATCAAATTCTTACTTCCATTGATACAAATACTCAAAGACATTTGAAAAGCAATAATAATTTCCACATTTACAGCTCGCCCACAGATCATACTGATAAGCAGCACAAAAAAAAACAAAAAATGCACGTGTTCAAGCCGTTTTATCCGAGTCATCATTCAATAACTCTCTGACTCATTTTAAATAAATGTATCTGTCATATTCGGAACATTATGAGCCGGCATCAACATTTTCACACACGCTTGTACCCCTCCCCTATATTCCAGCAGGCTTAAGGCTAAAGTAAAACCAATATTATTGCACCGTGACTCTCTTCTCATCTCCGCAAGGTGTTTTTGCGAGTGCGCTGCGTTTCTCGGCGTTCCCCAAACAACAGGGAGGCAGCCAAAAGAGACGCTCGGCTTGGTTTTCTTTGGAAATTCCCAGACGTAACAGTCAGCCCAGGCACCAGTTTAGATGAAAACGTCTAAATGAAAGGCAGAGGAGGTGGCGGCAGGGTTGGGAGGACCTTTTCTTTTCAATGTACCAACTTGGCTGCGGCCCAAGAATTGACGAGGGTTCAAATTTGGAGTCGATTCAGTGACCTTTGGCCTGTGATTCACTGGCGAGGAATGCTCTTTATGTGAATGTCGCGAGCAAAAAAATCAGTAACTGACGCACTTTGCGACTTAAAACATTCAAAGAAGCGTCCCGCTTTTCCCCTCTGCTCCTACATAGACAAACCCCAGTGAATCTACAGTAAATCACTGACCGCATTAAAAAAAAAAGTAACAACGCCACCCATGTAGTCCAAGCACTTCCAAAGGTCTGCTGCACTCCAGGAATTCCCCTTGCCGGATTACTAACAAGACACTTTGTCTGCCGTGGACAGAGCGCGAGGGGGCGAGAAGGGCTAAGACCACCCTCCGTTTGGAGCTCACGCTGAGACGTCGTCGTCATCATCATTCCAGTCTGTTCTCTCCTTACCAGGGAGTGAATCGCTTCTGACAAACTGCATGCGCTGCTTCTTTTTTGTTTTGTTCTTTTTGAACTTTCAACCGTATACCAGCGATAAACAGTTGGTGGCTTCATATCCCTTCAAGTAACACACAATTCAACACAAGCGATGGAGCGACACGTCGACAGATAATTGACAATAACGAGACAAATATTCTTTATCGCCTGCAAAGAAGGCAAACCAACAGCCTATCCGTTCATACTACGCTGATCCCAGGTAGCCAAGGCGTGCACATCAAAAGCAGCAGCACAAAATCCACAAGTAGACTAATTTATGAAAAAGCGCCCTGAGATCATGTCACGACAGCTAGGCTGGGACAAGAAGCGCCCTTTTCACGCACTTTTCTGTGCGTCAAAGCCAAAGCTAAGCAGCTCTGATGAGTGGTACTTTGCGCTGCCTCATTGAGTAAAAATAGAAATCAATTCTTTGACGTTTACTTTTTTTCTCAACATTCTGGACGAGAAGGAGCCACTAGGCTTGGCGCAAACCCGCTTGACGCACTCCTGGTCGTCACGGTAACAACATACAGTCAGCACTGGCTACACAGTAGAGCGGGAGAGGCGAGCAGGAATTCAATCAATAAAGAAAGAAATGACGAAGAATGGGCTCCAATTCTTGATCCTTGTGCTATTTTCAAAAAGACATATTGCTGAAACAAAGTTGGCCAAAATGTGATCGTTAAACCAAAACCTGTAATTACGTTGCATTTTTGATACAATCAATACATTTCTTTGATGTGTAACATGCTACTACTGCATATCCAATTGACTGCATAGATTCAAAACATCCTATTTTAACCGACATCAATGTTGACCTTCCACAATGTTCAATCGGTGGCTTTTGAGAGTTTATTTATTGATTTGTTTATTTTTGCAAGGTTTTGGCCACTTGTGTGAGGCACACCAAAGGTGGGGGTTTTTGTTGTTGTTGCAGAACCGGGTAAATATTCACAGGAAAACATCCCGGGAGGCCATATTTGCTTGTGCACACCCAATCACCCCACTCACAGCCTGAACGGATCGGCAGGGACCCGCCCGCATCTTTGGAGGAACAAAGTTGGGGAACAATCAGAATGATTATTCTTCGCAGTCATACTGTGCATTTGTCACGTTTTGTTTGTACAAACCTTTCTGAGCACTTTAAATGCCCAAAACATCCCATCCGAGGATATTTAAACCATACTGTTGTGACCGTTTTTTTTTTTTCTTTTTTACCATGTGCAAATAACAAAGCAGTGAACCTTTAAAGGGAGCCCGTGGGAGAGCAGCGAGCGGGAGGAGGAATGGGAGGAATGCGCTGTAACATAACAAAGCCCAGTTCAAACTTGTGGGGGGCGAAAAACGGCGACTAACCATAACCAAGTCACTAACAACTAACTAAAGCAAAGTCAGCCGAACTTTATTTGGGGTTAATCGGAGGCACTTGTGTGCAGGCCATTTAACAAGGGCTTGAATGTGCCACAGCTCCAGTTAAAAGTGGGTGGGGCAAGCCAGTTGTTTAGATTGACTTCAAACTGTTTTGTTTTGGGGGGTTTTGAATGAGCTGTTCAGTTTAAAGTCACATCAATACTGGTGAGAAGTTTTGAAAGGCTTTTTCTTGCTCCAATTTTTGGGGATGGCACAGGGGTGTGGTCTTTTTTTTTTTTTAAATCCACTGTAAAAACTGTCTCGATAAAAATAAGTGAAAGTACTAAGTCAAGCACATCTTTATTTTCTCATGAGACTTCCTTGGATTTGAAAACGAAAGGGGAGTTTCCGAGTGGTTTTGTGTATGTGTGTGTCTGCTGCAGGCAGGGAGGAGTAAGCAGGGAAGCGAGTGG